CAAACAAAGCATTAGTGCAAATTAAATATTAAAAACTAAATGATAACAAAGTAGAATATATGCCATCAAGTCAAAGCAGGCACACAGAGTTAATTTGAACATCCCAAACCCATAACCATCTACCACTTCCCCACACCTTAAAACGGGGACACATTAGGTTCAACCTAATTGAGGAGAACATGCTCATCAATCATGCATGTCACAGTTCTAAAGACATGCACACCCAATAACAGAATTTACAAGCACCAGGCAGCACTTTTTGAATTTGCAATTCTTCTTACACAGGCACATATAATTTGAAAATTTCACTCTATTTCCCCTTTCAATCCAACAGAATGTGCATTTAAGACACCTACTGGGCCATGCCACCAAATAATAATAATAATAATAATAATAATTTAAGTTTAGCAAAAAGGATTTTCAAATAGAAACAAAAAAGAAATAATGGACTTACCTGAATATAGGTCAGGAAAGGAACCGCCTTGCGCAACAGCAGGCAAACAACAACCTAGGATGGACAAATTAGGAAATGTAAAAACCCAGGCAATATAATACTGACATTTTTTCACCCAATTCTTTATTTTTAAAGAGAGAAAAAGGGGGGGAAAGAGGGGAAACCTCGAGTACACATATATAATCTTACATTAGTAAAATTACTTTCCTGCCGAACTCTGAAGATAACATTTAGAAGTTCAATAAAACAATACCTTGCTGAAGTACCCAGCCAAGAGTGTGCTGTGGGAATTATTTGGTTCCAAAAAGGAGAACAACAAGTTCATCAACTGCCAAGAAGGACATAAGCAAGTGAATCAATTGTTGAATTCTGTATATTTTTTGAACTATCAACCAGAGGCAGTGAAATTGAATAGTTAAGAGTGTCTAACCTCCTCATCTTCTACCAACGTTTTGAGTATGATATCAACTTCACAAGTAAAAATCTCACATGCAATAAAAGGAAATCTGTATACACAATAAATTAACAAGATCAATCACACAGATAGAGAAAAGCATCAATGCTAGTGTTGGCATGTATACTCAAGGCAACCTACTTGAAAGTTCGCCCTCTTTTCAGCATCCTCAGGAGCTTCTTCAACAATGTATTGGATGAGCTGCTCAACCTGGGCTCTTTCTCGCAGACTGTAACACAGGGCAGCGCAAATTAATCAAATGAAAAAACTGATCTTGAAAAATGAACAGGAGTCTCTCAGAAACATATGCTCAAGCACATAAAGAACACAAGCAACTAATAACTGGAAAAAATAAAATAAATTTTTATAAAAGAAATATTCTGAAGACAAATTTATCTTTCCAGGCCTGGGAAAGGGCTTATGACAAAACTAAATCACTCATATACCCAATTGGATGGAAACAAAATTTTAAAGAATAAATACATTCCATCTACATCGAAAAATAAAACAGAAGTGAACTTTCAATGTTAACATTTCAAACCACTGAGGCATGGAAATTAAGTAATTCACGCCAAAATCACAGATTGAAAGCCAAAGGATTGGCATCATGTCTGTCAACAGCAGTACCAGATATATAAACCCAAAATCATTAGAAATCATTTTAAAAACAACTCTGAGAAGGAAATATTCAATTTCCACTTTCATCTTTAAACCCACTGACCTGTTGCCACATCCGCACATAAGAATACATAACATCATTTCAGACAATTATATGACAAGCAGCCCTCCCCAAAAGACGCTAAGCATAAAAATAGTACCTCACTCAACGAAGCACAATGAATAAGCAAATAGTCGACAAAAGGAACTAAAGGTAAAATATAGAGGCAGTGTGGAAATGGAAGGAGCATTACAAATTGATTAGACGGCCATTGAGAGATTTGCATTCTTGAATAATTTCATCTTCATCAAGAAGCTCTTCCAACGTGAAATTGTCCTTGTCCAAAATTGTCTCCACCTGAAACATAAATAAAATTAGTACCGAAAAAAAAATTTGCCTAAAAACAAACAGCAAAGGACTAGCCTTCCATATTAGTGAAAGCTGTTTGTATCATCCACCTGAAATAAGTCAATAGTAAACAAACAACAAGCTTGGGTGACAGCTGGAGATCATCTCCAGCCCTCTAGAGAAGGGAATAATACTGGTGCAATTCAGAGTATACAACTGATGCTTCAAGAGGTCTTAAGCTACATTTATTCAAGTCCTACTTTTGCAACTCACACTTTCAAAAATAAAATCCCATTAGCAACTGTTAAAAGTGAAACATGTTAGACCCAGAGCATGCAAAAAATACTAAATACAACATACACTTCAAGGACCCCTTAGGCCTGCCTATAATTATGTCCTAATTTTAAAAACCTCACTTCCAAAACCACCATCCATAAATGGTTAAAGTCTCTAAAGTGGGCACCATGGAGGTTTTTAAAAAGGCCTCTAAACCTCACGCAATCCTCAATCCCCCCCAGTAAAATTTACTAAATTGCAGATTATATATTGTCCTAGTCCACACTTAATGGCAACTGCTGCATAATGACATATTAGAGAGTTTGTACTATTAAAATAATCGGTTATCACTAAATCACTGATCCAAATTTCGGATCCAATACATTCTTGAAGAATTGACACCTAGAAAACTTCCTGTGAAATTCAATGGCCAATCCCCCTCGAGTTGGGACACAAGTGACATAACAAAACAATACCTCCTGAGATCCAACATTCCAACCTTGTATTTCTGATCCCACATTATCTCACCGAGATTCAATCCAAACAGAGAATTAAGAGAAATCAATAAAACCTCCCCAATATTCAATCCAAATATGTTAAAAAGAATCCCATACTATGCCACACACCCAATGGCAAAAACAAGAGAAAACAAAAGAAACGCCGTCGTATAACTCACCGGAGACGCAGTGGACAATCCCGCCATACGCCAAAACATGGTGAATTGAGGAGCGAAAAGGGCCTCCGCTAGCCGAACTGAAGTTGGATCTGCGAAACCCCGAGAAACAAACCCTAACGCCCCGTCACAAAATCCCCAACCGAGGATTCACCAATCGCCGAACCGCCGGAGACACCCAAATGATCCAAGCATTCGCTACGAAACCCTAAAAATTGGAAGACGCGGATTCGATTGGATCTATATCGAGGGCCACAGAGAGATAGAAGAAGAACCCAAAGGCCTGCAATCGCGGGCGGGGGTGTGAGAGAGTGTATATTGGAGATGAAATGGAATTATAGAAGGGTTGAATTATTATATGGCTTCGACTCGAATATAATTTTTTTTTCTTCGTGTTTTTATATATATACTATGGTTTTGGTTTTGTTTTTGTTTTTTGGGTTTCAAAAAAGTCTACCAATTTGTTTGGATAGCTATTCGAAGTTTGTGATAGCCTGGAAGGATTTGTATATTATAATGTTTGTTTTGTTGGGTTAAGATTTGGGCATGGAAAATATGTCATTCTTTTGCTATGTTTTTGTTGCTCTCCTTTAAAGTTGGAGGCTTGGAGGCTTGTTGTCCACTTGCTTTGGGATTATTTATTGATTTAGTTTTGGTTTTGGTTTATTTTTTCTTTGTTTTTATTAATGATTTGAGTAAGATGATATCAGACAATAACTTAAAGATTCTATCCCGATTAATTCAACTTCTTGTTGTGTTTAGTTGTTGAAGAAAATTTATTAATATTGGACATCATAGTGGCTTTGTACTTGTTTTGTTCTTCTTATCAATAAAATATTATCACTCCTTATAAAAAAGAAAAAAATATAGATATTTTGATTGGCAAAAATAATAGGTAAGAGTCAAATTTATGTTGTTAATGTAATAGTAACTAGTCTCTCCTATGAGAGGCTTTTTAAAAATAAAAAAATAATGGGTAGTCATGTTCTATAAAAATAGGATTCATTATCTGATTTTTCTTTTAATTTTAATTTTTTTAATATGAAAAAATAATAAATTTACCATCTTATCCTTATTTAATTAATAATTTAAATTCTTAATGTTTGCATTAACCAATGGCATTTTATGATATTTTGAATATTTAACCATTCTTTGTTTTTTGCTTTATATATGTAGATGATCGATTGAATGTGTATAACACAAATTTAGAATTCTTTTGTAATGCTAATTATTGAAGTTTTTGGCAGTTTGTGTGTGCGGAGCTTCATGATTGAAGGTATCACTCATATTGTTTTAACTTTTTGTTTCTTTGCCCAAAAAAAAAATGTTTCTTTACTACTATTGATATTTCAAGCATAACTCTTAATTTGGTCACTTTGTGGGGATAATTGGTCTCTTTAAAATGAGAGTGTTTGTCTCTACATGCCCAAACTGTTTTATGTTTGATATAGTTGGGTTTTTAATCAACACAAGGACTTTGTTATTATTATTATTATTATTTTAAAGAATTGAGAGGAGGAAAATTGAATCATTAATGAGGAGATTTGAACAACGTCATAATATTACTTGGTGTGTGTTACACTATTCTGTGGAATTATAAATTCACGTTTTATATAAATGGGCTAAGTTATTAATATTTCATAGATTTAATATATAAGTGGATTCGTAACACCCGTGTTGTCGATATAATCATCGCACAAGAATTTCTAATGTTTAAGGATAAGTCTCGTCTGATGTAGATTTTGGGCCCTTATAATGTAATACTTCGTTTTTTGGGCCTTCGGCCCCAATAATACTCAAAAGGGATAGAAAAAATAACATTTTTGTAACCAATAACTTCACTGGTTCTATGCTGAAGACGGGAAGCAGAGTTAATTGCTGCACAAACTGCACCCGCCATTCATTGTTGGCACGCGCTTCTTTCAATTGTTCGCTCCACAAATCGAATCAATATCTAATCAAGCTAACAATCCGAACCCTAAAACCCTAATCCCACTGGTTTCCACCAAAACCCCTTTCACATTATCTACCAATTCCCTACCAGATCCCCAAATTCACATAAATCCTTAAGCTTTTAATTCTCTCTAGGGTTTTCAGAGCTCTGTAACTGCAAAAAAGGAAGTGGGTACTCGTCAAAATGCTGGGTGGGTTGTACGGAGACCTCCCTCCACCGTCTTCGGCGGAGGAAGAGAAACCCAGCAACACCACGGTGTGGTCGAGCAGCACCAAAATGGCGCCGCAGACTCTCCGAAAACCCGCATCCGTTTTCGCTCCACCGCAGACGATTCTCAAGTCCCAAAACAAGCCCAAGCCGTCGAATTTAGTCCAGCCCAAAATTACAGCATCACCGGTAATTGCAACGTCGGTGATACAAAACGACATGGTGCATACTGCCCTGGTGGGGGTCACGTCGACGGTGCTAGAGGAGTATGATCCGGCGAGGCCCAATGACTACGAGGAGTACAAGAGGGAGAGGAAGAAGAAGGCAGTGGAGGCTGAGATGAGGCGAGAACTCGATAGGAGGCGGCAAGAGGAGGAGGAGAAGGAGAGGAGAGAGAGGGAGGAGAGAGAAAGAGAAAGGGAAAGGGAGAGGGATTTTGGAGATTCAAGGTTGAACATTTCGGGTGAGGAAGCCTGGAGGAGGCGTGCGGCTATGAGCGGCGGGGCAGTTCCAGCAATGCCGGCAATTCCAAGGTCTCCGTCTCCTCCGAATAATGGAGATGGTTTTACCATTGGGAAGTCGGAGAGTGGCGGGTTGGGGTTAGGGGCTGGCGGCCAAATGACGGCGGCGCAGAGAATGATGGCGAAGATGGGGTGGAAGCAGGGGCAAGGGCTTGGGAAGCAGGAGCAGGGGATCACTACTCCCTTGATGGCCAAGAAAACGGATAGGAGAGCCGGGGTGATTGTGAATGCCAGTGAAACAAAGCTGGAGAAGAAGGCGAAGAGTGTCAGCCTTAATGGGCCACCCACCAGGGTTTTGCTGCTTAGAAACATGGTATGTGTGTACTTGACTTTCTCATGCTTATTGATGCTTTATGCATGCAAATGCACAATAGTGTGGCGTATATATACTATTTGAAAGTTCAGCCATTCCATTTTGTTCTTTAGAGGGATGATGATACAGAATGTGATTTCTAATCATTTGAAATTCAAGGTGGATCTTGTTATATATAAAGTACACGAATTAGTACGACGCCTACTTCATAAGATCCTTTTTTAAGAAGTGCTACTTAGAGGAGATTGAAATGGTTCAATTATTTGTGATACTCTTAGCATTAGTGTTAGATTCTATGCTTTTTATAACTTTCGGTTGCATTAGTGTTATATTAGGTTGAACATGTAAAGTCTTGCTGTTTCTTATTTGACTATCCATTAGCCTGGAACAGGACGAGCATCCAAGGAGTATAAATAAAAACTAAGTTGAAAGGGTTGTTCATATTTCAATGGGATCAGTGTTATGTTCATTGTTATTTTTACAAAGTCACCTTCTTTATTTGAGCAAGTTGTAAAATGGATGGCATAAGAAATGGCTATTTTTTTCTTTATGTTTGTTTGGTCTGAATGGCCCTTTTTTTCTTTGATATGAATAAAAAAGTTCTGTTTTTGGAACACAAGATGTCTGGTTGTTGTGTCACGCAAACATTTCTTTTATACCTTGACTTTGATAGATCATGATTTTGAGACAATTTTAATTAATTCTATGCAGTTTCTTGTTGTAAATGTCTTTTCTTTATCACAAAACTCAGACGTAATTTTCATGCTATGTGTTATGTAGTGCTTGCCGCCTTCTACCTGTGTTGTGAATGTATTGTTTAGGAGGTTCATTTAGAGTGCTACAGTCGGCTAACATCTTGTTGATTGTTTTTCCTAGTTGAGCTTCCTGGTTTCTGCAGTAGGACTAAATAATTAATAGTTTCCAGGAGAGTTGGCTAACACATTGTTTATTGCTTTCTTCAGCCTGCCCTCCCTTTTTTTCTCCTTTGTTTTCTTTAAATGCCCTCTGATTTTGCTTGCAGAACTGTTTCTTCCATATCTATTTTGTGGCATGCTTTAATAAGCATAAACCATGACTTGGAAAATATGTATAGCTAATTGCTGGATTGAGAAACTATCCAATCGAATTAGCTTTTGGCCCTTGGGAGATAAATTTGACCATTAAAACAGATAAATTTACTGCTTAGACATAGCCACAAATTGATGGCCTCATAGGATAGGATGTCACGTTAGAATAATTTCCATTTGATAAGTTTCATGGACTTGAGGCATCGCATTTAGAAACAGTTAACTGGGTGGAAGACAATGTGAAATGGTGCATTGCTTAGGGCATTTATTTAGAGTCTTAGACCAAAGGTTTGTAAGGGCAATCAAAATGACATGGTAGATTGTAAGGGTTTTGCTTCTGTAAGACATGGATAGTTGTGATTTGTTTGTAAGATTAATGAATGAGGCTTCATTGGAAGCATGAAAGATGGTCCATATTGTTCTTCACTGAATAATAAATAAGCATGTTTCTAGTAACGAAGAACAGAACAATATATAAGAATTTCTTAGGGAGACTTCTAAGAAAATACTTTAAGGCTAATGAAGCCTGATTTTGTTCAAAGGGTCTTTATGAAAATGTGCTTGTATCTAATACATAATACACAATATTTTCATAATTTTCACATAGAATTTTATGCTTAAAACATATTAGCTAATATACTACCTAGTTTTACATAGAAAACATTTGCTGTTACCTTGAAGCTCTTCAGGCCTTCAATAGACTGATTTGAGTGCATTATTGAGGTAACTTAGTAGACTACCAGGTTTAAGTCTATAAACTCTACAGGGGTTTCATTTCTTTCCTGTATATCTTGCCCATGTATTCTACGTATCATTGTTCAAGGGGTTGATGGTTTGTGAAACGGCGTAACATAGCACGGTAGTTAGAAGTAATGCTATAACCCTGTTAATCTTTTCCATTTAAACGAAGCCATAAGTCCTCTTAGGTCTTTTATCATCTGGCATGGCTTGAAATTGTCTTAAAGGTTCTACTCATTGTGGTGCTCGGGCTTTTGTACCTAAGCCCAATTTTCTTATCTGTATTATTAATCTTTTCACAATGTAAGGCCTAGTCTCACCTTAACTTTAATCTCAACTATCACTTATGTCTTTCATGTCATTCGTTTCCCTTAAGCGGGCCTAGAGTTTAATCTCCACTACTGAAATCGGTTTAGTACTTATATGTTTCGATCTTTGGGAAGCTAATGAACGTATTGAAGGAACTTTACCTATGTTTTTTAGTAATGAAAATGTCACAATAGGAAAGGCAGTGGATTAGTGAACACAAACTTAACTAGTGACTATTTAACATGAAGAAAGAGTCGGTTTTCTTCAAGTTAATTCTATGACCGATATTATTATATTGATTTCGTGTTCATATCAAGCCTAGCTTTGGTTTTGTAACACAAATTCAAGCTGATGTGCTTTATTGTTGAAGGTGGGCCCTGGCGAGGTGGATGATGAGTTAGAAGATGAGGTAGCATCCGAGTGTGCAAAGTACGGGACAGTGACCCGGGTGCTTATATTTGAGATAACGGAGCCAAATTTCCCGGTGGATGAGGCAGTCAGAATCTTTGTGCAGTTTGAGAGGTCTGAAGAAACGACTAAGGCATTGGTTGACCTTGACGGTCGATACTTTGGAGGTAGGGTAGTTCGCGCCTCGTTCTATGATGAGGAGAGGTTCGGCAACAACGAGCTGGCTCCAATGCCAGGAGAAATTCCCGGGTTCACTTGAATCACAGGGCATCAAATGCAAGTTGATTTTCCCACATTTGTAGAGTTTACCGAGAAAGATAAGGGAGAGATGAGGTTGGGATGATTTCGCATTGCCATTCGAGTTGCTAGTAATATAGCAGGTAGTAGTGGGCATTCAAACTTGGGAGTAGCTTTACTTTTTGTGGTCGGGTGGGTGAAGTTGATGTAACTGCGACGGTAAACAACTGTAACAAACATACGGTAGTTGCGAAGTCTTGTAAAAGGTGATTGTTGTTGCTTGTGGCTTCAGGTTTTTGATTGTTTTACACAAAACAAATTACTTTATTTTCGTATTCGTAGGTGGAACAAAATCTGATTGCACAAAATGGGGTTTTTCACCGCAGCATACAACTACATAACCACACACCTCACACACCCCCTCGTTTAAGTTTTCCATTATATATTCTAATTCTGATTAGCTATTGTAATATATTATTATTATATGAGAGAGCCTGCTGCGATTGAACGGTGAGGGTGGCGGTGGGAGGGGCTAAACGGGAAATAAAGAAGAGAGTTCTGTTCTAAGGGCAGTGGGAGGGGGAGGTGTTGTTGGAAGCCCTGGCTTCATGCAGCTGGTGGTTGTGGAACCCGCCTTCGTACACGTACATAGCCGAGTAAACGCTCACACTGTTGTTGTTGGTGGCTGTGGTGCCGCTGGTGTTGTTATTGTTGAAGGCAGGCAGTCTGCTTGAAGTTGGAGAGGCTGTGGTCGAACTCTCACAGCCGCCCATCACCATGCTACTGCTCGGCGTTGCTGCTGCTGCTGCCGACGTGGCGCTGGCTTTGGGGACCCCACCGCAGACCGAACAGCAATTCGAAACCTTCCCTCCACAAACAACAACCAAGTGAATAGAATAAAACAAAATGTGTGTTTGGTTGGTGAGAAAATGCAGGAAAGAAAAGGAAAGGAAAGAGGGAGGTGGCGTGCGTACATTGGGGGAGCGGGGGCGGTAGGTGGTGCCGTCAGGTTCGACGAGCCAGCCGGCCTCGGAGGCGAGATGGCGGAGGACCTCGTTGATGTCGGCGCGGGAGGAGAGACGGTAGCCGCCGTGCTTGCGGAGGCCGTGGAAGATTTTGGTGGTGATGGCCCTCCTCTGCCTCTCCCTCATCTTCGTCTTCTCTTTCTCGCTCTCGCTCCTCCCATGTGTTCCTGCCATTTCCTCCACTTCCTGATGCTCTCTTTGTCTCTGTCTCTCAAATCCCAATCAATTGTTAATAATGATGAAAGTTGAAAGTGTGAGCTTGGTTCCTGAGAGTGTTTTGTAGAATGGTGGAGTAGTTGAGGAGCATCGGACGGTACGGGTAAACAGAGCCACGCAGATTGGATTGGACGGCTGGGATGATTCTGCGATCTGCATGCGCTCTCTGTGTTTTATCTCTTTCTGCATGACACCGTGACATGTGTGAGAAAGATAGAGAGAGTTGAGAGTTACAAATGCATGTTTCGGTTTCACGCACATAGAGAGGGCAGAGGGGGTGTTTTTCTCACGCGCTTCTGAGGCAATTCCATAAGAACGCGACATGGCGGGCGCCTGGCGGGGGTGGCGGCTCAGCATATAGAGCTCAGGAACACATAAGAGACTCAGACGGAGCCAAGCAAACCATAAACCAGCAGGGGCAAAGAAGCTGTTTTTTTTTTTTCCTCAACTTTTGTAATAAATTTATATATAAAAAAAAGTAAGACATGCATAATACAGAGCAAAACTAGTAGTAGAATGTAGCAAGGACACATCATGTTTCCTGAAATTTCAAATTAAATAATACTTACAAGTTAGAAGGTCGAAATTAGACGTTTGTGACTATATGCATATATCCATATACTTGTCGGGGAAAAAAAAGAAAGAAAAAGAAGCTCTGTAAGCTAGAACAAATGGAAAGATAATTTCTGGAGATCTAACACATCGGCTGCTGACACGCTTAATCTCGAAACACTTCCATTAGCAAAGTGTGACGTAGTCTCGGTGCTACCGCGGCATTTCAAGGTCCGGTCTCTGGTCGAGTACTTCTTGTTTTGAGTCATCGGAAAATGCATCTGGATAGGTAGCCAAAATTCTGGACTTCATGCTCCTGTTATCAATATTGTCAAAATGTATCGCAGAATATAACAAGAACTCAACTACATATGATATTAGCATAAAACGTGCACTTCCTGATCATCACTATAGTTACGACACGCATCAACTGGAAGTTAAGGCATCCCAACTTGAAAGTCAGTCTCTGATAGATAAATTTATAGAAATGGAGGTGTAAGCTTTCAAGTTATCAAGTTGGTTTAGCTAAAACCAGTTGTCACACATTGATTACTATCGTCTATCTAGTGCAGTTTCTTTCTAGTGGAATGATTCTCGTATATGCACCTGAATGGCAAATATGACAAACAATAATTGGCTACATGCATAGATATTCAAAGCTTATCCATGATATCTGAATCAAAGAACATACGTACGAAATATTTAGCTTATCCTAGATGGTGAACACGAATCTGAACATTTGACCACACCAATAATGTCAAACAAACCACAGACGAACTCGCTAGGACCAACACCGACCCATTTTGGACTACAGGGCTCAGCCTGGATTGTTCTTTTCCTATGTGTGACTTTGATCTTTCTTGAAAAGAAATTATCTTAAATTTCTCAAGTGAACTGCAGAAAGCAGGAGTGACAAATACATCCCCTTGAACATGTACTACATATAGATTACTACAATGTAAACAATTCTTTTTATTAGCGTGAACTTTGTAAATAACACTATAAATTGATACAAGTGCATAAAAAAAATCTTCAGATCAATTACAATCCAACGACCCCGAAGCAACAACAGTGTAGTCAGATAGCAATGACAAAAAAATTCAGTCAGCACTTCAAATAATCAAAACAGAACTAAAAGAAAGCAATTATAATACCTCAACTTCTGAAATATGTATTCAAGATCAGACTTCATAGACCTTAATAGGCGTGTGTGTCTAGAGAAATCTCCAGCAACCTCAGCAAAGCAGTTCTCTGAAAACTCATTAAAATGTGACAGGACTGCATTACCATCTTGCAATCTCCCCAATCTGCACTTGAGAAAGGGCAAAATGTATAGCAGAAAATAAATACAGAAATCAAATGCCAGGCAAGTAAGTAACCAATGACAACAACGACCACCACTTCAATATCCGTTCAGTATAAGTTTCAAGAAGAACTCTGCTTATTTTCATTTACTTTTACATTTTTCTTTTCGATATCTAAGAAGTTACAGGTAAATGTAAGCTGATGTATCTGCCCTAGTTCAACTGTACTCCTCAATCAAGATGTGTAAAATCTTAATGAAGAATTATACGCAGAATTTTGCAATAAACATTAGCTTTTACTACCTTTGCACCATAGGTCAACCTCAGAATTGAGGCATTCATGGTCACATTTAGATTTAACACAAACAGGTAGGTAGAAAAACCAAAATTTCATGACTTCTTATGTCAACTGTATCCCCACCGAAATTTCCACACACTTCATTGCATTGTAATCTGTTATCATTTTTCACAGAGATCCTCAAGAGCAAAACAGATGCAAAATTCAACCTTTGAGTGTTCAGCTTTTACATCATCTAACATTACACCAAACTAAAACAATGTATTGAAAGAAAATACATGCCTAGCATCAATAGATGGCTGAGTGATATATTTTTTTCCTCCCATTAAACAGTAAATAGAACAATTCCCATGATTTTATTTCCTTCTCAGTAAAATAAAATCTTAGAAACGGCTATTCCAAACCACCAATGTTCGAAAAATCGCTAGGCAGTAGGCAGGCGGCAGGCAGGGGCCTAGAGGAGTAATCAAGGCCTAGGCGGGCACCTAGGCTTTTCTTTAAAAAAGGACCCGACCCGCCGAGGCCGCCTAGGCAGATTTTTCGAACACTGCAAACCACAGATGTTAATCAAGTTTCTTCCTTTCTCTTATAACTCTTCAACAGCATTTCACAGAAACCCAATTGAGCAACAGAACAGAACGGAAACTAGAATCAAACATAACAAAATTTCTTCATTCAACAACCCATTAAATTTAAAATAAATAAATAACAGTAAACAAGAATTAAAAATTGCTCAGTCAGCGGAGAGAGAGAGAGAAAGAGAGAGAGAATACATGAGGTGCTGCAATTGTTTGAGTGAATCCAAGTCCTGAGCATCAACCAGTGTTTTGAATTCATTTGATACCTGTTCTGATGCTTCCCTTGTCGCTTCCTTCCCCGTCTGCTCCATCACCTTCTACTCTTTTCCCACTCTCTTTCTCATCAATGGGGGTGGAAGAGCGAGAGAGAGAGAGATTTTGGGCTCATGCAACTGCTAGCCCATCTGGGTAACTAGGCCTTACTTTTTGTCTTTGGTTTGAGAAGTGCACAGTCCACACAAAAGTGAGCCCATGGAGTCCCATTAAAGTCGAGCAACCCAACTAACAAGTAATTTGGGTTGAACCTTTAAGGTTTTAGGGGTTGGCAGACAAGACCTTTGCCTTGGGTCTTTTTTGGACAAAGTCCAAGGATTGTGGGCCTGATCAATATTTTTTAATTTTCTTTTTTATTTATATTTAAAAAAAGCAAGATAATGTGGCTCTTGATCTAATATACATGATTTATATTTTGGTGCCTTAACTAAATTATTCTCTCAAATGGTCCATCCACTCTTTATTATCCGGTAAATTAGTCACACCATCTAATTTTCTGTTAAATTTAATCATGTATTTTTTAGAGTAAATATAACTTTTCATAATAATAATATATAAAAAAATATATATATATGACTTTAGAAAATTTCTTTTGAACCCAACTCATTCATAAGATTTGAAAAATTATTTTAAACTGATAGTAAATACGGACCAGCACTTGAAAGAAGAGACATTTGTAAAAGTTAATGAATTCTAAGGACTGATGTTCATAATCTCCAATTAATCACCCAAAAAAATAGCTTACATGCCGTCTTAATGCATAGTATGAACCCCAAAATTCAGACTTGTTGGTCCAACACTAAACCCTAGAAAATTTGTGGACAAACAAACAAACAGTCATGAATTCTACACCAGATATTTCCCAAAACCCACTCTGCAAAACCTCAACCATCCACAATATCCCATTCTTCTTCCAACAAACAAAAGAATTAACAAAACACAAAAACCCACCCCATCATCATAACCCCTTCTGCACTGCATATATCTTCCACCAAAACAGCAAACTCACACTCCCCTAAAAGCCCTAATCCTCCAAAACCCATTTCAAAAAAACAAGAAAGCTCCAAGTCCATGCTCCCCCACCCCACCAGTCAAAGTTTCAAACCACACCCTAGTAACCAGTAATTAAAACACTCTGAAAATAGATCAGGCCATGATAGTCTATACCAACCCTACTAAATCTTAAAGAGCCTGCAGATTAGATTAGATTAAGATCTCTGTAATTTCTTCCACAGTCAAACAAGCAAACCGCAGTAACCCTAGCTAGGTGTGTGTACCATTAGAAAAATGAAAACCCTAGAGCTATAGCTAGGGTTTTTGGAAAAGCCAGAGATCTTTGCACTTTAATATTTCTGCATCTTGCACTGATCTTTTTTGTTGTTGGGAGAAACCAACAGTGCCATAAAAAGGATTCAAAGGGCACGCTTATGTTGAAAGTCTGAATCTACCCACCTGAAAATAAAATAAAAAAGGCTCAATATTTTAATTATAAAGAAAACAAAAACAAAATAAGCATGAGATTATAGTAATTGGCAAAAGTGGAAAGCAGGAGTGGGTGTCTCCATGCGGGAACAGTTGCTTTATTTTACTCTGCACCAAAAGATAGAGAGATCATATCATAAATAGCACCATTAATTAATGTTTACCTGTAATGGAGTTAAACAGAGTTCGTCAAATTTTTCTATGATAAATACGCAAAATTTATAGCACGAGACTCGAAATAAACACAGTGCCTTTCACACTCAGCTTTAAAACGCCTCGAATTTCAAACGCTGAAAAGGTAAAAGAGGAACCAGGGGGAGAGAAGGGGGCAGGGCCCCCCCTCGACCCATCTAACTGTTTCTTTAACATCATCATTCATGCATGCATGCATGTGCATGTTGCAACATCATGATGTATGTGCATATCTGACATCATCATGCACCATTGTCACTATCAGTACCACGCATGATATCTGTTTATATGTATTCTGTATGGATGGTCATACCTACATGTTATATATAATTCAAAAAATATCTTATTTTTTGACATATTGATATTCTAACTACTCTAATACAAGAAGAGGAAACGAAATCGGACACACTACCTAAGCTGATTGATCTAACCAACACCCTATATTGCACAAGTACGAACACAGCAATATGAGAACACGAAAAAACGACAAATCTCAAAAAACTAGAACACGGGCAAATTTCGTTCACTACTTAGTGTTAGTTTGGTGGCATGAAAAATTGCATGAAACTTTGATATATTAGTTTATGACTATGTCGATTATATTTTCTTTTTAAATCAATATATTTGGTGAGATATCCGTTGGCTATTTATGGGTAGATTGTCAAATTAAAGTTCATTTTGTTGTGCAGTTGTTGGGCAAGCAAAGATTGCTGTAATAATACAAAAAAGCAGCGTATGAAAAGACGTTGATGGACATGACATGAGGCCAAATTTCCAATCCGCTTAAAAGGAGACAAAGAAACCAGAAGGCCAAGTCTACATTTTATGTCAATGGTCAAATCAAAGCCTTGTAATTGGAAGCAGCTTTACGGTACCAGGCAGCCAGGCAAAAGCACCAAACACACGTAAATATAAAATATTAAATATTAAGCAGATTTGAGGTCACACAGTAGAGTAGGTGGTCCAGCAGTAGCATAGCATAGCCTATTGGCATATACCGGCAGCGCATATATATATATATATATATGGCTATAGGGCATGTAATTATAAGCATAGCAGACCAGGGCAGAAAGAGCAGCGACGAGCAGAGGAGGAAGGGCATGGCATGGGGTTGGCCTAAGGGCACGTCTTTTAATTGAAAACCCTATGTGGCTGGCTGGCTGGCTCGTCAGACTTGATGGTGACGTGGCTGCTGTTGAATATGGGAAATGTGTCGTCTTCTTTTTCCTTGACTAACTATAATGTAAACTTATGTGGTGTGCCCATTGAGAGACTGAGATTCTTTCTGGCCCTACCCCAACAGAAATAACGATTCTTGCTAAAGTCCCCCCATTCAAACTATGGTGTTACACGAAAAATGTGAGTTCGGTCAGTTGATTAGTAAGATAATTTGTTAATTCTCTTGCACTCGAGTTTGATCTCTAGTTTCGTACATTAGAGTAGTGTACAATGGTAGTGTCAAAAAAAGAAAACTATAGTGTTATATGGGACTTGGGACTTTGAACAATTTGAAAAAAGAAAATGAATTAGAAATTTTTTAATTTAATGAGTAAATAATTGTGAATCTGACAACGCAGTATGTACTGAGGCTATAGTTGTTGATTTGATTACACATGTTTGGATAATTCAATTCAAAATGAAAGCAAACTCTGCTAGTGCACTTCCACCAGTCTCAGTACGGCTGGTTACTAGTTGGTGCTTGCGAAATACCAACCATGCATGAATATTTTTTAAAATGGATTTTGAGATTTGATCTCATGCAGCAAAGAGTCAGAGAGGAGGACTGGGACCAGTGACTTCACCATGCCACGTGGTACGGCCATCATGACATACTTGCTGACCCTGCACCACCACGCCAAACCAGGATCACAAAACACAGAATCCATCAGGTGACGTGTGTGCGCGCCTGGTTTTCTTGCAAGCATTTCAAATATATCTACCATGAAACGTAAATCTCTCTGAACAATGTCATAAACCAGATGGGTAGTTAGAGACTTGACATAAAGGATATAAAGGAAATGTGCCAAAGATGAAAATTTTGCAAACATTTTCTTTTGTTAACTGAAAAAATGACAATAAAGAAAAAGATGTTCTTCATGTGGTTTTTATTTATTTATTTTATTTAATTTTATTTATATATATAAAAAATTTAGATTTACATTAGCTAATAGTAGCTAATATAATCTAACTTTTCTGTACCAGTTTAGATGTTTATTTAGTTTGAGTTAAAGATCAGTCTGATTTGCAAGCTCATCAGTATCTTTATTTTCATTTTTTAGTTTCTTGGCTGTCTCCATATCATTATGATTCTGAAGGTTCATAGATTTTGCAGGTTCTTCATTTATTTTAGACAGATGTGCTGCAAGATATATATTATTATTATTATTATTATTATTGCAAGCTGATTTTATAGCCTTGCAGTTTGCAATAGCATACCATAGGCAAGGATCTTCTCTCCCTCTTGCCCTGGCATTGAATTGCCTTAAAGAAATTTTTGTCTTCCTACTAATGTAGAGGACCAGTGTGTGGTTAAAAAGCCTTGTAGAGGACCAGTTTGTGAACTGGTGTTTTAATTGCAATTTAAAAAACATACAAGTGTTTTAGATTCAGTTCTAACATTTGCACTGAGTGAGTTGAAAAGGTACCTTATTTTCTCTAATTTCATATACAGAAAGTTTTAAGTCACTCAAAATTTTCAAGAGTCCTGACTTTTATTTATTTATAATGAACTACCATTCTTTAGAAACAAACCCAGTAATGAATATGATTTTGCAACTTTTGCAATGCTTTTAAGGGTTGCATGATGTGATTATGACCAAACTTAGGACAACCCAACGTGAGTTGGATGAAATTTCAACCAAATGCAGAAACCATTCTGACATGTTGAAGTAGACAACATAACCATAACCATACAGATATATCCATTCAGCCAAAATATAAACATGCATACTGAGTCTCCATGAGCTCCTGCTATTGGCTACTGTGACTTCAAAATGTCTAAACGTGCTCTTTATAGCAACTACATAACTTAATAGATAGCTAAGGTGTTTTTGTGAATCCATTATCCCCATCACACAAAGGACCAGCTCATGAACATGAATGCCAGGCAGTGATTCGAATCATCGTCATTAACAACTTTCCATGCAACAGCTTGATCATAGGACACTGGCCTACCCATGCTGGAGGCACATAATCCTGCTGGCAGATATGCGAACCCCTAAAATTTGGAAAAAAAAATCAGAAAACCTTTGTTAGAAACCTTATAAGAACAAAACAGTTTCACCTTCGCAAACCAGGCTGAGATTTTTTTTTAATCCTCTTCTGAACCCACCAAATCAAATAGTTTAATCTATAGGTATAGTTACCTGCTGCATGATTTTGGAGAACTCCGAGCAGAGAATTTTCCGTCCAGCTTCATCTAGAATCTTGTCAAGCATGATATCCTGGAGGGCCACAAGAGTAGTTTCAAGCATGTCAAGTCCAGCCTGGTTTGCAAAGGTGAACACTGGAGATGCCTGCAATTAAATTTTCAACAAACATGTTGGCAACAGAACAAAGCACGTACTTTCTTAAGCTAAAATTTAAGAGACAAAAGGGATAAAAGTAGAGAAGTAATTACATTCGTTTTCACAGAGCAGCACATGATTGCATCTGAATGGTGCCAAAGTTGCTTCAAAACAGCATCCCCAGATGGGGAGTCGACTCGAAAGAGCTCTGCTCCAGTGTGGATCCTAAAGAAGGGTTTATATTGTGAGCTAATAATGCAAGTAGTCCGCTGAAACACAAGTGTTTGCTTCACTAATTCATAACCATCTATTGGCCTCCTTTGGTGTACGACACAAGATATAAAATACAAGGCAGAGATGAAACCCTAATAAGTGAACAAAAAAAAACACAAAAGTTCAGAGATTTGTCACACCTGTAGCTTCTGCAAATCCATCGTGCCAAAGTATGAGCCTCAGGAGATCCAGGAAGGGGTTTTGGTACCATTTGGGAGCTGAGCCGGGAAGGAGCAATAGCCATAGCTACCCTTTGAACAGAGCTTACAACACTACGCACATACTGTCGAGCCATAGCAGCCACATTGTCTCGCAAGTGGTTCTCAAAGGTGAATTGGAAGGCAATGGTTAGCACAGACCTAAGGTTGTAACTATTGCCATCAGCCTCATTAACAGGACGAGAACCACTCGGTCCTACTTCAAGCGTAGAGGCCAAATCCAATGTGCGATTTGCAGTAGGTCCATCCTGCAATAAAGAAACAAGTAACAGATATCAGATATGACCACAATAGATGGATACACGAAATACTGTGATGTTAGTGAGATTAGAGACATCACGTAACTGTTTTGGGATCCAATGGTATGACATGAAAACCAGATGGTAACAGAGGAGCATCATCAGCAAACGATTCATCAATAGGTGCAAAGACAAGCTGAGCACAGGAACCCACTGCATTTTCATCAACTCCACTGCACAACTGCCACGGTATATTTTTAGGAAAATTATGTTAAAAAGAAAAGTTCATGCCGATGAAAAAGAAATGAAAATATTAAATAAAGGAATCCATTCAATGTGCGACAGTCTGTTCACTAACCTGTAATAAGTACATATCCCGCGCCAAAGCAACATCCTCAGGAGAGAAAGCATGACCCTCTAGGCGAACTACCTCTAGAAACTACATAAGAATAAATGGCAGAAATTTACTAGTACATTCATATTTAAAACAATGGTAAATATGCAGTAATGAAAAATCAGTTTAGAGAGCATAACAAAGTCATTACCTCCTCATTCTCCACAGTTTGTGCAAGAGGTAAGATAACCTGGCTGCTCGGGAAGCCACCTGGCCTTGCACAAGGAACTGCATATGGGCTAGCTTTAAGACATGCAGCAGAGTATGCATCAACCCCATAATCAGCCCACTCTGAGCGATGCTCCCTCAGAAAACGAACAAGCAAAGCCGGGGGAACACTCTGCATACCCAGATGAAGGTCATCAGTCAATGATGCAAACGAGATAAGTTAGAAGTTCATGCAATGTTGTTCATATCTATCTAGTCCAAAATAATTCAGAAAAAGGAGGAAAAATATATAAAACTATACAAGAACTGAGGCATATATAAATTTAGTTACTATACCTGCAACAGCATTGATGCCTTAGCACACAGCACCCCTCCTCCAAAAGTGGGGAAAATTGATGCGTTATACTGGGAACCAAGAAACTTGTTTGGAGATGAGTTAATGGTAATTGTCACATCCTCCACACCGTCACTACCCATAAGTGACCAACCGTCATCCGCAAACCCATTGACAGCATCGTTAAACCCTCTGAAACCCAATTCCAGCATATGAAGAAAGATGTTAATCCAACCGTAATACATATCCACTTAAGATTGCAACAATCCTAAACAAGTGAGCCAAAGAAAGGAAAAAGCTATGCACGGCACAGGCAAATCAAAACTTTCAACAATAGCTAAAGTTTACACATCCAAGCTCTCTTGATACCCGAGATCTTGGAGGGCATACCTGCAGAGTCTCTGACAAAATGTCCTCAGAACAGCAGGCTGGCGACCTCCACCGTACTGAATTTCTCCACTAGTCTCTTGAGCTATCTGCCGTATATGTCGCAGGGCCTACAAAATAAAGTTACAAAGATAAGTTGTGAATGAAAGGAGGAATATACTTAAATGTATAATTACATGCGTCCAGTAGTTCTTACAGAAATAGTCATTTTCTGAGCAAGGATTTTGGATGATTCATAAAGGGACCTGAGAACTTCAGGAACGCTCCAGGCCTAAGACATCAAAGGCACTTAATAAGCCAATTGAATAACTAAAGAGTTGGATAAGAAATGGTAATGATATATTCTCACATCTAGATCAACATGATCAACAATGTTGATAATGGAACCACCACCCTCACAAGGTCGGATAAGATAGCCACTAGGAAGCATCTCAGCTCTTACAAAACTTGCAGATGGAGGCCCCGTTGGGCCACCAGTAGAAGAAGTTAACGACCTCTCACATACCTGTAAATGTAATTTCGAGATGGTAAGACACAACATAATTATATGAAGAAATATGCAGGTTTTGAAGGGGCCACTGGCATCAAATTGTGCTTATAGCAGTTAATTGGCACACATTCAAGCTTAAGCTCAAAAAATTTCATTAAATGAACAAACATATCAACGTGTTCAGTGATCATTTCTGTAATGAAACAAAGGTAAAAAAGCAAACTTTACAGTTCCACTCACTTTCTGTAATCGCTAATGAAGAAATATATTTCATCTCCAAAGAAATTAAATTCTTTATAAAATGCTCATTTGGACATGACATCCTAGTGTACATTAAATGCTAAAAAACCTCTTTATCAAATGCAGAGATAGTAAGTCAAATCTTAGGATATAAAAGGCGTCACTTATTGAATTACCACAAGACTGCCATCTTCCAAACTTGTAGTATATCTCAGTGTCCAAAAGTCACGTGCCGCAGCCAATGTTGTGGGTGCATAAGTCTGGTTGAGAAGAAATTTTAGAAATTAAGAAAATAAAACAACATATATTAGGTGCTAAAAGAACTTCATGCCTGGATACATAGTCACAAAGCATCAATTCACTAAAACAACGAACCTGCATGTAAGTGAGCTCAATTGTCCCACCATTTCCAGCAGGGATTAGACTTAATACATCAAGGCAACGGCAATCCCGAAACCATGATGTACGATCTTTGAGGATTTCAGCGACCTTTAATGGAAGTCAACATACATTTTAGACCAGGGCAAATGAAAAGCACAAACTCTATTTCTCAAGGCCTAAACATTATACAAGAAGTGGGGAGGAGGTGACACGAAGATATGTACCTTTGTGGGCTCTAGGCTCACAAGACCGCAAGCTCGTGCTGCTACCCCACTGCAGTTGCGGGAAACAGCGACGATTCCAATAGAATCCGGACCAGGCTACAAGTAGTTGCTAGGAGAGTTTAATTTCAAAGTGGTCCAGTGGATATAAATGTACCAGAGAGTATAAAATATAAACACATGTACACTAATTGTTTCAAAAGAATCTACCTTCATCCCAATCATCTGGACCCAGTCGACAGCAGTTCCGGTAGCCTTAGAAAGGAACTCTGCCAAGGTCTCCTCCGCTATTGCAAGAAGTCTGACAAGAAAAATATACTGTAAGCTAGTTTACTTCATCACAACCTAAATATCTTCAAGTAATAGTTGTAAGGACGCTAATTACTTACCCAGCTGGGTTGTTAGCATCCCTTTGCGGATGCTGAGGTGTTGGGTTTTGCTGTTGTTGGTGCTGACCACTCATGACCACAGACTCGCAGCTATTGTCTGTGGTCGTTCCAGATGCCTACATACAACAATAAAAAGAATTTATAATATAAACCTCATAAGTTCTTAAAAAGTATTATTTCTTGGAGAAGCAGATAATCACCACAAAAGAAATTGCCAAATAAAATCATGGAATACAATGATATAACGAACACAAATGTAAAAGCATGGTTCCCATGGACGAGGCGATTATAAAGGTTGCGGGAATTACACTATGCAGCTGCTGTCGCATAAATCCATTCTCATACACCAAATGAGAGACCTGCTTCTGTAGGCGGTCATTTTCTTCCATTAACAGCTTATTCATTGCAGTCAGCTTTCTATTCACTGTCTGGAGTCGAGAAGATTCCTTCCTCTGCTTCTCCCGGCATCTATGTAAGTACGCAAAAACAAGCAAAACGCAAGTTTTAGAGAATGGTTTGCCAGTTTATGACTCAACAAGTCTTAATAGGAAAATATGTCAACTGTTGTAAGCCATGCATTGTGTGTATAAAATAGGGTTACAAGACCAGCTGCATAACAAGCAAAACGGAATAATATGCAACATAAAATAGGCAGTTCTAAATTCTGAAAAAATACTCATTTGAAAACATAACTTGTGTGAGAAGGCAAAATAGAATTGTTTCAATCCATAAATTACATTAACCACCCAAAGTTTAGCATATAGAAACTTTAGAGTGCCCCACATTTTTATGATCAAAATTTAAGAATACATCCCTCTAAGCTAAAGTGTAAAAGCATAACGTAACTCAGCCAGAACATCCATTTTAGTCTATGTAATAAAACAGTAAATGAGAATTATGGCATAAAAAAATAAAAAGTTGTCGCTTGGCTCAAAAGAATAACGAGGGAAAGAAAGAAGATTATTAACGAGTTGTTTACTGAATTGTCTTCAGAAAGATACGACAAAACTGAAAAGAAGAGAAAAACATAAACCCAAAAAACAATGAAGCGTAGAAAGAACCACAACATAATAAAAGAATGCAGGAAAGTGGAGATGTCATTATCCTTCATTAAAAGTCCAAACGACTCAAAAGCAGTATTTACAATTTACATTCACCTTTCTGCAAAGATGGATATGAAAATCCAAGGAACCACATGAAAGTTTCACTTTTTACAATTGCTGTCGTTTTCTTTTATTTAATCGCAAAATAAAGGCACACATAAGAAGATCGTCATTTATCTAAAAACAAACAAAATACGTCCACCAAATAAATATAAATGAGAGAGAGAAGAGAGAGAGAGAGAAATAAAAAAAATTCAGAAATAAAAAACAGAGAGAAAAAATATATATTGACATTATACTTGAAAAAATATACTGACATTATAAATGCGCATCCATGAACCCTTTTACCTTGGATAAACAAAAAAAAAAGTATAAGAGGAAAAGATAGAAGCTTACGACTTGCAGACCAGAGGAAAACAAACACAAATCAACTAAAAAGGATAAACTTTTCTCCATTAAAGATAAGAAACTCTGCTTTTCCAAAGAGGGAAAACGGTTAAAGAAGCATTTCTAAACAAGCCCACATTTTCTTTTCAAATCTATACCACAAATAACGAAAACAATTTGTGATTAAGAAAAGCCCATGACTTTACACAAACAATGTGAACAAATATGAGATCCACCTTTCAAACAAAAATGGAGAAACCAGAGCACGAGAAAGAGGGAGAAAAGATAGAAAACAGAGCAAGCCAGAGAAGAATGAGCTTATTTTTCATCCAAGACGAGTTCACAAAGAAAATGGCCATTATCAGAATCTAAAAGACCATTTTCCCAATTCCTAAAGATTTAAAATAGTACGCAAAGAAACTAAAAAGAGAGCAAGAGAGAGATTGATTTTTGTGGATCAAAACTCTCTCCATTGAACCCAAATGCTTTTCATTCTGTTTTTACCTGCGGTTTTGGAACCAGACTTTGATCTGCTTAGGCTCAATGTTAGAGAGAATAGGGCACTCTCTAATCAGCTGCTGCCTTCTCAAAGAGCTAGGCTTTGGGCATTCGGAGTAGACTCTCTCCAAGGCCTCAACCTGCTCTGGCGTGTACCTCACATACTTGCTTGAATCCATTTGCTTGCTACTACTTCCTGGTGAATCTCTGTTCATAACAAGTGCCATATGCGCACAAAACACAGAACCACCTCACGCGAAAGCTAAAGGGTAAAAAGAAACGAAGAGAAAACCCCAATGAAAAATCTCCAAAGAGACAAGAAACAAGTCACAACAAAGACGACCCAGGTAGTGTTTTATAGTGTGCTAATAAAGCTCTGGCCTTGAGCTCACTGTTTTGGCAGAGCAACAACAAAAAATGGGGAATATAAGTTCAGAAAGATGGTTGCTTTGGCTGTTTTGGCTGTTGTTGGTCTAGCTGTTCTTCGTCTTCTTCTTCTTGGGTGGTGTTGTAGTTGTTGTTAGTGCAGGGCAGGCTCTCTCCGCCAAGAGAGCCTCCTCTCTCCTTCATCAGATGGCTGTATCTGCTCTCTCTCTCCCTCCCTCCCTCTCTCTCTCTCTCTCTGTGACCCTGTTTCTCTTCCTCCCAAAAACTCAATAACCCAAGTTGGAAAAAGTCCCTTGCTAGCTCAACAGTGTTTAAGAGGTGTCCTTGTTTGTGGTTTGGGCTCCAATCTCGAGGATTTTCCTCTAGAGAGAATGAATTTCTGTTTTTTGTTAAATTAAAAAAGAGAAAAAGAAAAACCCACAGAAAGAGATAGACAGGCCAAGAGAGAGAATGTGTGTGTTTCTTTGTTTGTGGGTTTGTATGTGACAGAGAAAGCAAGCAGAAGAAAACAAACAGCCAATGGCAAATGAAAGGGCAGGTGGCTAATCTATTGCTCTCTCTCTCTTTATATTTTTTCTATTTTCTTTCTTGGTATTTTCTCAAAAAATTACAATATAAAAATGCAATCTTTCCTCTTTTTCTCTTATTCCCTCTATAACTGTGTGTGATGTGAACATTTGAAAACGAAAGAAAAAATAGGAAAAGAATAAATTAAATGAGAAGGCAAAGCAGCAGAGGGAGCTATGTGTGCTGCTAAGTCTGCTGCTGACTGCTGATATGATATGATCTGAGCCTGCAGGCAGGCCGTGGGTGGGAGAGACCCAAAGCCTGCTGCCCACTGATGAGAGAGAGAGAGAGACGTTTTTTCAGATCTAGTTAACGTGTGTGATTTGATATCAATTCTATGCTTAATATTATAATTATATAATCTTAAACATCTATTCAAATTCTACTTAATCAACAAACTAAATTATTGAAAATAAAAAAATATATGTTAATATGTTATCTTATTATTAATGTTGCAATAAATGGCAAATGAATTTCTGCATGTTTTTGCATGGGATGCATGTATGTATGCTTATTTGTATGCCATCTATGGATGCATCACGTATGATGATGTATGTATGGGTGAGGGATGGATGAGAGAGAAACTGTGGGCAGTGTGGGGGGAAGCGTGAAGGCAGAGCAAATGGACAAAAGTACTGTAACGCTCTGCATTCCCGGGTATTTGGTTCTTTTGCTACTTGGGTTGGGTGGGTTTTGACCCGGAGCTTGGAAGACTAGGCTTGGGCTTTGATTAAGAGCTGAAGTTGGACATAGGCCCAATTCCAAGGTTTTGGAAGTTTTCTCCCATCCCCTTATAGCTGAATTGGGTAACTCCGACAAACTTTTGAGTTTGATAGTAACATCACGTGATAGTGTTACGAGTATTAATTGAGCTGTTACCTAAGTGGCATTGTATTATCGGATATCCATTACTATTAGTAATGCTTTTAAAGGATGCAACAAAGAAAATGAAGAATAACTTTTCTGGAGTACGAATAACACCACACTCTTCGAAGAAAAGGACATGTTTCAATAATACCACCCCACCAACAAAGATAGACATACAACACAAAATCCAGGGAAATATATATATCAGGAATGAAATTCAAATTGCTTTGAATTGATTTGTCTCCATTCTTTCTTATCCTTATCTTATAGACTTGCTACCTATAAACCTTTGATGGGCTAGTTGTGTGATGCAAGCCAAATATCTGGATATTTTCTAAACAAAATTGTTTTGGATTTTGTTGTTGTTGGTGGTACTGGTAGAAAAAAGTGGAAAATGTACTGTTAAGACAACGGGGTAAAAAACTCACGGAATGGACATAATGGGGGGTAATTGAAAGGGTTGAAACTAGAAAGGGTTGGAATGGACGTAAACAATGTCCATGTCACTATATTTGTTTGTATTACAAGTGGGGTTTGCTGACCTTGAATTTGTTCACGATAAACAAAACCTTGTTAGTGGGGCGGTAAGGATATTAAGTTTGTTTTTAGTGTGTATATATATATATATATATATATATGTCATAGTTATGATCAGCGTTCGCGGTCGGATTTAAATTAGTCTCACTCTTAAATTGTAACTAAATCGAACTAATAACAATTTGATTCGATTCAAGATTACACTTTTTAGTGTTGAAACCAAACGAAATTGTGAACTCATGTAAACACTTGAATTTTAAGCTTCAATAATGATGTCAATGCATGTAACAAATCAAAGCATCTAGTATGCTTTAACATTAAATATATCTAGAAGTGGCAAGGCTTCACATCACATGCATGCAAGAACAAGGACTAGCTATTGATATAGATTAATTATTTATAAGCCTTCTGGTCTAATGATGTAACCTCTATTTGTCATATAATTTCAAGTGTCAAGTTTCATCATTAAATTTAGACCAACTTGTCTATGCTTATCGTAGTCTACAATGGCCAATTAGGCATGACAAAAAAGTAGTAAAACTTTGAGTCTCTCATCACATCAGAGCTACGTGAAGAGCAGCACATAGATTCTTGGCTTAGACAATCAAAGGTTTTCCCAGCATATAAAACCTAATTAGCGCACTTTAGTTTTTATTTTTTATTTTTTATTTTTATACAAGATATATTTTACTTTAAATTAATCTAAACTAAAGGGAGGGGGATTCGAACTCGAATGTAGAGTGGGAAGCACATCTGCTATAGCCAACTAATTCCATGTTTGCTTAGCCTAATTTGGCTTTAAATATATGACTTGGGGTGTGAAGCAATTCAAACTTTCAAAGCTTGAAAATCTAAACCGTAATAAGATTAACTTTTGTGGTGAAGGTCGACCAGCACCAACCACACGCCTTTTGGTGACAATTGATAATGTTTCCCACATCCATCTCTTCACTCACAAGAATCCAAGAGAGAGAGAAAGAGGAAAAAAAGAGAGAGATGATGGATGAGAAAAGCAATTGACTTTTATATTTCACAGGTTGACATTTTACATAAAGGGTTCATATCTTGAAAGCATCCAAAGCTTGCAGACACTCCTTCAAATTAAGTTCCCTCTCTCTCTCTCTCACATATATATATATATATAGTGATATAGAAATATGTATATATGTATATATATAATTAATGGGCTTATGATGGAGTTCTAACAGGAGTCAATGGCTACACAGACTCAGTTGGTGTCTTCTTGTCTCCCTGGCTATATGATCATGTGGAGGCCTTTGCTTCTTCCCTTTTTCTTTTAATTATCTTTCCTTTTCCTTTTTTTGGAAGGGAGAAGGGAAGGAGCACACAATTAACAAGGCTAGGGTTTGGGACAGAGAAACCCCACAGTTGGGGTCATGAGGTCCACTGAGCCATGTTCCAGGCCATATCACCTTGCGTGATTTTGCAAAATCAACACAATTAAAGGTGGAGGTCCCTTTCCAGCCCCATCTTAGGGACCCAAAAGTTTTTTTTCTTTTTCTTTTCTTTTGGGTGGAGGGGAGGATGACCCCATTTTGTCATGCACCAAAAGACTCACAACCAATACCCCACCCCCATTCCTCATTTTACATCTCTCTCTCTCTCTCTCCTCTCTCTCTCTCTCTCTCTCTCTCTCTCTCTCTCTCTCCTCTCTCTCTCTCTCGTTTGGGTGAGGTGTTCTTTGGGGTCCATGCATGAAAAGAGGTGTAAAGAGGTAAGCAAGGATAGAGAGGAGGAACCCAACTTGATAGGATGCTCATGTGAGGGAAAATCTTATTATGTTTGCTACTAATTATGGCACCAATATCATATAAATGTTCTTCTTTATGTATATACTTGCTATGATTAGGAGTGGTATTAAAGTATGTCAATTTATTTTTGTCAAAACCTTAGAAAAAGGAGAGATAAAGAAAGGGCTTCATGAGATGAGAGTGAGAGTGAGAGAGAGAGAGAGAGAGAGTCTGCATATTAATGGCATTTATGATCAGCTGCCAACATGACAAAATGATCACCTTGTGGAGATTTTCAGAAGCTTCTTAATTGATTAATTTGGAGCAATAAACCTTGCTCAAGCTTTTATTCATCTATGGACAAATCATAACTAAAAGGCCAAATAAAGGAAAGAATTGCCCAATCTGATTATTCATAGAAATTGATGTGTGGCTTATGATCAAGCAATCTAGCTAGATTTGGTGTAACTTTGCTTCATAGGAACTCTCATGTCAATTGCAATTTACAAATATAGGATCAAGGCCAAATGCAAAATATAGAGACGTATTAGCTACATTGAATTGATGTATTCCTAAGTCATGATTAGTAATGTTAACAGACTTTAATTACCTTTTCAATGACAAGCTGCCTACTCTCCTTTATTGGCTTCTTCCTGATTTTACTTTCCACCAAGCATTAATAGAATGAAAAATGTCATGCGTTTCCCAATGAAATGATGAATCAAAATTTAAGCAGTTTGAACTTTGATGGAAATAATATGTGTGGGAGCAAATAATCTCATGCTAATAATCCAACGCCACGTATGCAATAAGTTATTGTCTAGACCAAATTACCCCTAGTAAAAGGGCTGTGAAAATCAAAGTACATCCCATTCTCATTAATGTGATGAGGGGGTGACGTAACCATTCTCATGCACACTCTGGAAAAAGTTCGACGTTGTCTATTAAACGTCCCGGGCCTCGCCAGCCACAAAACCCAAACATGGGCCAAGAAGCTACGTGGGCCTGAGTCCATAGAGTACGTTCAAATAGGACGAGTCGTTCTATGGTGAGGGTGCCATATATGGACTATAAATGTGGAGCTTCATGTTAGCCACATGATTCATCTGAATAGTAACTTCACTTAAGTTCAATGAAATGATCATGTGACTAATATGAAGGTTCACATGAGAGGTTCATATATGGCACCCTCACAATAGAATAAATGTCATACGCAACTTTTTACAGCAATAAACCAACCACCAATGAGTCATATAAAACTTGATCACAACTGCAAGAAGGAGATAACGTTTCATTACAACCTAAGAACCCCTAATTCTTTTTGTCTGAAATTGACTTAAGCATTTGAGACTCTTTCGCTCACACCAAATCGGTGTGTACCCCTATTCATGATCTTTTATTTTCTATTAAATCTCAAGGGGCACTGTGGTCTTCTTTAGGAGTAGAAGAAATTATTCCCAACAATATGTAAGATGTTATTTATATGAACATGGATTGGCTCCTTAAAATTGAGGAGCTCTTTTTTAAAACCAATGGGGTTTTGACACTTGTCAAATTCCAGCAACATTGACAAAGTTTCAACAACAACAAAAATAATAATTGACACGTGCCAAAACCACATTGGTGGTAAGGAGGAGCTACTCCTCAATTTTAAGCAACCAAACTTTTTACTATTTTATTTATAATACCTTGAACCTAAATTTATATGTAATACCAATACATATACATATGCACTATTTTATAACTTGGTACACATCACTACAAATGTGTACATCCCAATTGCTAAGAATAGTACATATGAATGAAATACAATTGGTTCACATCGGACAAGTGGCTATATATATTAAATTATATGTTTTCCTAAAAAGCATCAAGAATTTCAGAAAATAAATAACATTTGTGCAATTAAAGTGGTTAAGTTAAAAACAATATCAGTGCAAATAGTTATTTAAAAAAAGTGAAAAAAATCAACAAAAACAATCCAAATTCCATTAATCCTATTTACTAGTTGTCCATACCCAACAAACCAAAACTAAAACTTTTTTATAATGAGGTGAAAAAATGATGCAGTCCAAAAGAGACAAATCCAGTCCAAACAACGTTAGAAAGACAACAACCGAAATGATTTCATGGTAGAAAACATTGGGAATCAGATTATCTGGAACAAAACAAGGCAATAGTGATGCGTTGAATGTAGAGAAGAAGATGTCTTTCATAGTGATGCGTTGAATGTAGTGAAGAAGATGTCTTTCCTTTGATGAAGAGGTAATTGCCACAAATCATCTTGTTTGTTTGAACTTTGAATGACCCATTTACACTTGGCTTGCTCAACTACTTTTTCATCTCTTTATTTTATTTTATTTTATTTTTTATATTATCGTATTTTCCAATTTCCCCCAAGCTAATAAAAACAAATTCACTATATTGATAATTACCCCAAAAACAAAAAAAACAAAAACAAAGAAACTGCCGGTTGATAATTACCCAATTTCATTAACCATTAAACTTATTGTCTCAGTTGATAACAAACGAATAAAACTACTACTACATAAACAGCAGCCAACCTAATCTTTTGCCAATCTATTGAAACATTACCAAACCAAACAACACGAGCTCTAAACTTTGTCAGACAAGTTTCCAACCTCACAACAGGTATAAGTGCAAACTTAAACCACACAGCAAACTTAACCATCACTCTCCTGGGTTAAAAGAAAAGAAAAGCAAAGGGTTGAAATGAAACCCATTCGGGAGACGGTTATATCACTGCGCTTCAATAAGACTGCCTACTTTGTCTTTTGCAGCCCCCCTACAAGCCTACTACTGAAGAACCTATACATGCTATTGCTAATGAGCTTCAAGTCACAGTGAAGCACTACCAAGACTAGCAAGGCTGGTATTGGGGACCTCCATTCCCTGGCAGTTGTTGAAGGATAGATACTTCATGTGGCCCCCTGAGCGCGTTGCAATTGCTTCTGAGTAATCAGGATGTTCCATCTGAGGAAGCAAGCTCACTTTTATCAGAGTTTAAATTGATATTTGGCTGGGATTTGTCGCCTGATGACATTTCATCCTGCTGGTTGTCATTTTTCTTTGCATTAAGAAATCGACCCCCACATCCTCTAGCTCTTCTCAGTGCATGCTGGTGCCGAGATTCATGCAAGTATGGCTGCAAGAATAGTTTGAAGTGACAATGAATAAATGAAGCCTAAAGCAGCATCTCATTGAACATGAGATGCAAGGATTTGCAGTCCACAATATTACCTTTCGAGACTTAAGAGCTTTATTTTCCGATTCTGCTTTAGCACGAGACTGCCGACGTCGCAAGATGCCATGATATTGTTTTGCGTTTACAAACACTGGTTCCTCAACTGCATCTGATGGCAATGGAACTCCTGCTTGCTGGATTCCCATTAACTGAAGATGGACCTGAAATGAGGACACAGAAATAACCACAAATTTCATGCTCATAAGCAATATGTAGTCTCAACGCTCAATATTAGAAGTACCATTATCAAGAAATTATATCTAAAACAAGGTGGAAGAAATACCGTTGGTTGCCCCCCATAGGGCTGTGGAGGATATGGTTGTGTGTCATAGGGAGCAAAGATGCTTCTGTAGTAAGGGTCTGGATAAGGGTAAGCTGCTGGTGCCTTCAATTAGACACACGAAGGATAATGTATCAAAATTCTAAACTTAAATTAGATGCCTTTTTAAAGCATTTACATTAAAAATTGCAAAACAACTACATGAAAATTAGCTTGAGAAGCAGAAACTTCCAATGATACTAAACATTCTTATTCTGTAATGTTTTTTAAACAATACCAACAATTTCACTGATACTATGTTTGGAAGGAAGGTTGCAAGAGCAAGCAGATGGTAATTCATAAAGGAAGGATAAAGGAAGAGAAGGAGATTTTTACTTCCTCTTGTTTGGTAAAAGGGATGGAAAGGACGAAGAGAAGTGTAAACATAAACTTTTACAATTATACCCCGTATTCAAATTTAATTGCTTGGGGACAAAAATGAAACTCTCACTTCTACTAGAGATTAAAACCCAAACTAAATCTACCTAAGGATATTCATGGGTCAATTTGAAACTATTCCTCCCAGCCATCTCCATCCCCACAAAACATAGTTTAAAATCTCCCTATGTATAGAAAATGAGATTTAGGCGAGCCCACCACATATAAGCTGTCTAAATACCTTGGAAAGTACATCACATAGTTGTCTCCCAAAGAAAATGCATCTTAAAACTTCAAATTAAGAAGAGTTTAAAACACGCATGGATCTTTTATTTTAGGTATAGCTTGAAAAACTCTATAATATTGTCTAGTTATCAGAAATCATCTTACAATCTTTAGAGCCCTTATTTCCTAATGCAATCAGGGTTTGTTAGTTGTGGGTTCGTTAAATAAATAACACTCTTTATATGGGGGTAAACCTCCTTATTTCCCTTTGTATGGGGGTTTGTTAGTTGTAGGGTTCATTACATAAATAACAATCTTTAGATGGTGGTATCGTCTCCCTCCCTCCACCCACCCAAAAAAAAACAAAAAAACCACACATGAATGCCCTTTTCTGATAAAGGCCTAAATAGTGCTGCTACCACCACCACTAGTTAGACCTGTATTAAGGATCTCTTGTAGCCATCACTAAGAACACCTGCTATAAGGAAATACATTGTCTCTAGCCACAAACCATGAGAAACAGAACCATCACAACCAACTTATTCAGCTTCATCACCAGCGGCAGTTCCTGTTACTCTCAAAATGCAGGCAACACAACTCAACACTAACAAATGTGATGCCTTCTACCTCTACTAACTCTTAATTACTTAATCATCCACCTAGGGAAACTTCTGATATTAGCCACCATAATTACTACCACCAATGCTATGTAACACTAGATGCACCGACAGCAGTTATAGTTTCATCTAAGTATCCCCCATACAACTTACTGTTCACATAGCACATGCATATATTTTCAGTTCCAATTTTGCACTGAATGTTCATAATTATTACCCATTATGCTGATAAGGGATCATAACAGGATGATATCGGTAATTTAGTCCTCTGATTCCACCAATTTCTTTACAAGTATTAGTCCCTAATTATCTAATGTCTTTTATTTACTCAGTTTTGGATGCATGTCTTGAAGGTTGAATCTACTTTCCTTGCAACCATACGCACAATTTCTTTGGGAGTATGCACTTGCACATTTCTTCACTACACAGTTACCCAAGTTAACAAAACAAGCATCTCATCTTTAATAAAGTGCCTACTTCAGAAAACATTAAAATCAAAATAATTGTAAATTACTTGATGAACTGAGTAAATGGTACCACATATAAGCTTCAACACATTCTAAATATTGACATACAAACATGATATATGAGATCACAAACATACACAGGTCAGCAACTACATATACACATGATATAAATAAGTAAATATATGGCACCTAAGAAGTCACAAACTTGATGACACAATAGTGGAATTGACAATAATAAAGTGGAAACTTCCTCTCTTTTTTTAAAAAGGAGAAATTGCAAGAAAAGAAAACATCAACTCTAGATAAGTTTAAGGTTGAAGATGTTACCACTGCATGTCCTGTTCCAACCTGTGGAGGGGCTGCATACTGAATATTTGGGGTTGGAATTCCAGGATGAGAAATACCAATTGCAGGCAAGGAAGAATGACTTTGCTGGTCATCAGATTCACTATTATCTGCAAAAGCAAAATTTCAAAGTAGATAAGAATGCGTTCAAGAAATGGTTGTACTACTCAAGTGAAGAAAGGAAAAAACAAAAACCATGATGCCACTTCACAAAAGGAAAACAAAAGCCAAAATCAATAAATCAATAAAATAACATCAGTGCTATAAAACCATAAATATGAGGGAAAAGTGTAGTAAACCCTACATCACTGCATTGATCATATGTAGCACAGGAGCAATATCAGAAGGATTTAACCAGAACATAATAAAACAGCATTACCAGACAGCCTTAAAGCCAACTAAAACAACCAAGGAAATTATTATTTTCACAAGGTAGAGGCTTCCTGAGGATCCACATCAAATGAAAAAGAAAACGGGCAATTAGTGAGATGGTAAATTATGTAAACCATAAATCAAAATCAGGAACGACCAAGGAAGTCAAGGGTTGGATCTGACACGGATCTTGCTAAAACCAAATCAAGACTTCAACCTAAGCCCATAAGCCCATGCTCGGTCTTAGGTATTACAAAGGTAACAGATGTTAATCTCCCCGCAAAAGTTATTGGTTTGTAGAACAATCCACCAACAGAAAAGGAAAGAACCCTTACTTAAACTAGTTTAATATAAAATCTACACCATTATTATATCAAAGACGCAAAAGCACCAAACAAAAAGCAATTCAGTTTCTTGCCACATTAACTATCCCTGCTCAATTATATGCCAGAAACATAAGTCTTATCCATTTACAGTAACTCTGAAACCAACTGAATATTTAAAGGGAAGGAAAGAAAATTACCAGAACGATCATGCACAGAAGAAGTCATGAGGATGTCTTAAGTGGAGAGTCCAAAACAATATGTAGCTGCAAAACAAAAATCATCCAGATCAATGTCATACAGAAAATAACATGCTGCTAGAACCAAGTAAGAAACAAAAAGAAAACAGATCATAGGATGAATTTTTTTTTTAAGTTTTATTTAAAAATAAGAAAGTACATTTTAGGATGAAATTAGAATCGTTCAGTAACTATTTTCTTTTTCTTTTTCTTTTTCTTTTTTTAATAAGAAACAAACACTTTACTGAGTCGAAAGTCTATTAGTTTAAAAAATAAAGTCCATCTGTGAGAAAGAGTTTGACCGTCTAGACAAAGCTAATTTTAGAGATGTTCTTCGTACTAAATTCAGATTGTGTTGCTGCAGTTAGTTGAATTTTGGTAGCTTGATGTTGGTAGATAGCGGCTTCTTGTAATTTACAAAGAAGCCCAAAACCTCACTAATAAGATCATAGTATAACTGCATATATTTGACAACCGTGCAAAACAGAAGGGACAATCAGGAGAGGGGAACTGATATTGCAGAACCATATCAGCAAAATGAAAGAATAAGGATACAATCAAAGTAACGTGATGGTGCTCGCAATATCGCTTTCAAGTATGAGCTACTAATTTCCTTGGTTACAGGTTCCATTTTCCAGCATAATTGAGATAAAATGGTTGGTAGTGGGCCTTTTCCTATTTTGAACCATGAAGTAACAGGGCATACATACATAAATAGATAAATAATTTTCTTTTTAAAGGTGGTTCAGTGAACGAGACTTTGCCTCCTTCCAGAGCAGAGTCCGAGGACGATTGGATGTACAAACCCTTACCCCCATTGCAGAAGGTTGTTTCGCATTTCGAATGTGTGACCACCCGATCACAATGGAGCAACCTTACCATTGTGTCAAGGCTCGAAATATACAGATGAATAGATCATTGTTAAACAAGATTTCCATCTAATCTAGGGGCTAGCCACAGCTGCAGACGTGTACAAAATAATTCCATGAATGGCCAGCAACAACTAATTTAGCTCGTAAAAGATAATCATGGTCTCCTGAATACTCCTTAAAGATTGACTCAGAGTGTTAAAAGAAAGAAGAAAGTGAACCCAACTACTCTCAATACCATCAACCCAACTAATATTATAGTTCATCTGCATGCCCAGTTTTCATAAAATTAAATTAATAAACTTTATTAAACCCAAAAATTCACCTCTCAATTTACTCTTCAAATACCTACATAATTAGCTCAAAACTCAGAAAATTGACCCAATCATCTAACATAAACCAATTCACCGAAACAAAAAATAAAAACACAATTGAAGAATTCTCATAATTTGGTCGGGCAAACCAATTGCAAAGCGAAGCTAGGGTTTAGAATTTGGAAAGTTACCTCTTTTGGCTGGCTGCGTTTCTTGTTCCTACTAAATTTAGTAAAATTCTTTCTGTGCAGGATTTGAAATGGCGTCTGATGGAAATTAGAATTCCTCTATCACCATATTATTACCTGAACTGCATGCCTATTTCACACACACACATCCATCATTTTTTTTTTTTTTTTTTTTTTTTTTTTTTTTTTTTTTTTTTTTTTTTTTGGGGTGGGTGGGGTAGCTTTTTTTTTAAGTTAAGTGTCGACTAGAATCTGCAGGGGTGAAGAAATCTGAGCCGTTGGATTCAGTGACTGTTTCGGGCAGTGGAATGTGCTGCCCGGGAGATAATCTGGACCAGGAATTATGTGGGGCCTACGCGGTGAGCGGGCGGGATTGAAAGCGACCGCCGAGCTTAATTTCTGTCCAGCAACGCACCCGCACGTGGGGTCCAAGGCTGAATATGATTAGGCTCTGCTGCTACTTTTCTCAAGTCAAGCCAAAAGAAAAAAACACAGAGTACACAAAAGTAGTAACAACAGACTATACCGTATATGAAGGGCAAGGATCCTCTAAATAATTTAATTATTAACTTTCCTATTTAGTATTTTAGTATTACTCTTAGTATTTTTTTTAGGAATACTATTTAGTATTTGACTAATTAATGTGAATTAGGCTAGTTGGTCAATGCAATAAGCCCACCTATTTGCATTTAAGTTTGAATCCCCCTAAACATTCCCGTAGATTAGATTAAGAGTATTTACTCTTGCATCCTAGTTCAATTCTCCTTCCTCAATATCGCTTGGATAAAATAAAATTAAAAATTAAAAAAAAAGCTAAGTCAAATTAATTGTGGGATGGTTCAGACGGTACGGATGAATTTGATTTGGTCGGGTTGAACGACGTTTTGCCCTCACTTAAGCTTGTGCTGAAAAATGGCACAAGCCCAATGGTCTTAGGTTACATACACGCATGTTTTAGGCCAATATTTTGGACTTCATTCCATCACTTCTACTCAACTCTCCCTTCCTTCTCAAGCCCAACTCATGTACCCAACCAACGTATCAGCTCTCTCTCTCTCTCTCTCTCTCTCTCTACTGGACCAGCGGAGAAGATACAGTACAATACTAAAGGGACATTCTAATTTTTACAATTTTATGTGCAATATATTTTGACAAAATCTACTAAATATGTAACGAAAGACTCATTCTTTTCTCGCATTTTTAACCAAATATCAATATAGGGTGACACCACATTGGAAAGGTAGGGCACCTTAGTGCATTCAGATTTGATTTACGTCGGAAACGACCTTGAAGTAACCCTATATAATAATACTCCCCTCCTCTCTCTCCCTAACAAATGACAAAATATATATAGCTATATATTTTTTTTAATATATTGAATATTTTTAAATAGTATTGCCGAGCGGCTATACTATTTAAATATATTAATATATGATCAAAAGGTATAGCCGCGCGACTATACATTTGAATACATTTGAATATCTAAATAGTATAGCCGCGCGGCTCTCCTATTTAATTATATTAAAATATGTTCAAGCCGCACGGCTCTACTATTTAATTATATTAAAATATGTTCAAACAGTATAGCCGCCCGGCTATACGTCTTAAATATATTCGAATGTTTAAATAATATAGCTGTACGGCTATACTCTCATATACATTTGAATATTTAAATAGTATAGCCGCCCGGCTATACCCTTTAAATATAACCGAGCGGCTACACTTCTTAAATATATTATATATATATATATATATATATCCATTTTAAGTACTGAAAACAATGATCCTGGTAGGCTCCATTTTTATGGATTGATTTGATGTATTCGTTTTTCTTTCTTTTGATGGCTTGATTTAAATAGTATACATGTTGCTTTTTAAAAATCTCTTCTTTTACTCTTTTTTTTCTTTTTGGGTTTGAATGAATCTGAACTTTGATTAGTACTTCAACAAAAATCCCAAAAGTCATTTTCCTAATCTAATATCCTAAATAACTAAAATAAAAAAACGCAATTCATTTACGAAATTCCGTTTAAAAAACAACAATGATAAATAGGATGTTGTACATATAAATAGAAATTATTTACTTTTTTTGCTAGTAAAGAATAATTTATATTTGTCAGATACTATATGTGCATGACCTATGGTCTTGAATGAAATCTATCCACATCGATATTCTATTGATGTTACCTAAATTATATCAATAATACATTTTATTAATTACAATAATATCAAAACATTATTGATGACATATTGATAGTACCATGTAGTTGATAAAAAATAAAAACTGAAAATAAAATCCAATGGTCCAAATGAAAATTCAAGGACTAAAGTGGGACAAACAAAAAGTTTGGAGGGTAATGTTGAAATTAACCCCAGACTAAAACAAAATGACCATATGCCACCCTGCCACCTTCTCGATATAAAAAACATATTCTAGAGAATTAATTATTTCAACTCGTCAGGTAGACAAGGCGAGCATCGCAGCGAGGGAGAGAGAGAGAGAGAGAGTCCGAGGAGCCAAAGGCAAAAGCAAAACTCGACCTTTGGGAGACTCGGAAGGATAACTTTATACACCATTTTTGCCTCCAACAACTCTTCCTCTGCATGATCTTAGTCCCCTACCCCCTATATTAAGTCCCTCGCGTCACCAAAGCCCTCTCATACCATCCTTTGATCTAATCATGTCTCATTTGGCTATCTCTCAGGTATGCCCCCATTTCAGATTCGGGTACTTTGTTTGTTTCCCGAGAAAACGGAGGGAAAAGAATGAGGCTTTCAGTCATTTTATGCTTACCCAGTTGCCAAATAGAAGATATTTGATTAATTCTGCTGTTCTTGTTATTGGGTTATAATGATTTTGCTTGCAGGGTTCACTTACTGCTCCTGTTGGAAGCGATTTTTCTATCAGAAGATCAGTGTTCAAGGTGCGCCTTTCCTTTGTTGGAGTGTTATTAATTTCGCATATTCGTGTTTGTTTTTTAATTGGACACAAGATTGAGGGCTTGTTTGGTTACTGTCGTTATAAACTATGTGGCTTTAGAGTCTTGAGGATTTTCAAATATGTTGTAAAATGAGAAGGTTCCGAGATTCTCCTTTTCATGTAGTTATAGTGGAGGATTAGCTATTGTGATCTTGATACCATTTCTTGGGTTCTCAGCTCGACCTTAGAAGCACTTGTTAGCTTTAGATTTTGCAGATTGCACACTTTACGTGTCTTCAGGGATGGAGCTTATGGAAAAAAATTGCTTGTTTCATTTTTGTAATTTCCCCTCTTTTTCTTAGGGTCTTCTAATCTTAATGGCATTGTAACATTAAGCCTTTAGTTTTAAAGGTACAACCAATTGAAGCAATTAAAGTTAAATGTGATGGTGATGCTCTACTGGTGTTGCTGTTAGAAGCTGTTATCGATAATGATTGTCGATAGTTGTAACTTTGAAAGTTGTGTATTAATTTGATTTAATTATTTGTAAGTGCGTTGATTAAATTGTCGTAGGGAGATGCTTGCAATGGTAGTAAATAGAACTTTTGTCACATATCTTGCTGTATGCTTATTTCATCTGATTAAGTTTAGAGTACTGCTCCTGAGACTAAAATTTTGTGGTCTTAATAGATAGTATGAGTTTAGCTGATAATAGAGTACAAATTTAAACTGCTTTGTGTTTCTTCAGTCAATAATTTCTCATTAAAATTGCTTGTACTTTTGCTGCAGGCACAAAGCATAAACTTTAATGATAAATCTTGGGCACCTCTTTTACCTTTGGACTTGAAAACAAAGAATGGGGGGCTGAGAAATCAGCGGATAGTATGCATGTCAGTGCAACAAGCAAGTGTTCCTAAAGTTGCTGTATCTCCTCTACAACTTGAAGATGCTAATGAGCCCCCATTAAATACATACAAGCCTAAGGAACCTTATACTGCAACCATTCGTTCTGTTGAGAGGATTGTAGGCCCAAAGGCTCCTGGAGAGACCTGCCATATTGTAATCGATCATGATGGTGATGTTCCCTACTGGGAAGGGCAAAGTTATGGTGTAATTCCTCCTGTAAGTAACTCATTCCATAAAATTTATGCCTTCATTTAGTTGAAAGGGTTTTGACCTATACAATTCTTCGCAGCAGCTGTGATTTGAAAATTGAGAGGATCATGATATAATTGTTTTCAGCCTCATTTGATGTTGGGTCTCATCTCTTTGCTTTAGTAGCCACCTAATTTTAATTTTTAAACCAATTTACTGGCATGCTAATAATTGAATCTTCACACTAAATTTCTCCATTTGAGTGCCTTATTGTTATTTATTTGCATAACAGGGTGAAAACCCAAAGAAACCTGGGGCTCCACAAAATGTTCGTCTTTACTCAATTGCATCCTCAAGGTATGGAGACTATTTTGATGGCAAGACAACCAGTTTGTGTGTCCGCCGTGCTGTCTATTACGACCCTAAGACAGGAAAGGAGGATCCTTCCAAGAATGGTGTGTGCAGCAATTTTTTGTGCAACTCCAAACCAGGAGATAAAATTAAGATCACAGGTAAGAGCCTACTGTTTAAAGATCAATGGGGTTTTGCTTTTTAATTAAAATAGTCTGTGCGAAAAGCCTGTGGCTCATGGCCAGGGTGGGCTATATTTTGATCTTAAAGGTCTCAGCCTGGCCAAGGCAGTGGCTCATGCAGTTCGGCCCTTCTAGTAGAATGGTTGTGCTTAAGCCTCACTTTTGGGTTGGCCTGTGCTCCTAGGTCATTTAGTCTCCCCAGCCTGTTCTTAACTTTTGTTATTTCCCAAATGATTGCCTTCTTCTAACATATATGAGTTTGTATGGCCCTTTAGTAGGTTTAAATAAATTCTATATATTCTTTTTATTCCCCCTCTTTTAGGGTTGGTGGTTGCTAGCTTAGACATCATATTTGACTTGATTGATTGGATTTTTCTATAAGTTGTTAAATTTAACGATGCTGGTTATTTTCATCCAAACTTGGCACTTGAGATGATCAACAACGCACACACAGAAGAAAAAAAATTGTTCTTGCTGTTAGTTAAACTAATCAAGTCAAATATATTGTTAGGAACTCCTAATTTAAGTGTTACTTCCGTAATAGTAATTGTATTGCTCACATTGTATTTACACTGGCCATCATTGTTTTCTTCTGTCTTTCAGTTGCAAACTATGGCCTCTTAAATTAGTTCATCCGATGATCAATATTATTTGCTTTCAGAGAGAATTAATAAACCTATTTAGTCCATTCTTTTCATTTGATGGATTTGACACTGTTACTGGTAGTTAAGATGCACTCCTTGTCTATAGTTAATTGAACTATAAATAATAATATGGCAGGGCCTGCTGGCAAGATCATGCTTTTGCCTGAAGACAACCCAAATGCCACCCACATTATGATTGCCACCGGCACTGGTGTCGCACCATACAGAGGTTACCTTCGTCGCATGTTCATGGAATCTGTTCCCAAATTCAAGTTTGGCGGCCTTGCATGGCTATTCCTTGGTGTGGCCAATACTGATAGTCTCCTCTATGATGAAGAGTTCACCAAGTATCTCAAGGACTACCCTGATAATTTCCGGTACAACATAGCGCTAAGTAGAGAACATAAGAACAATAGAGGAGGGAAGATGTATGTTCAGGATAAAATTGAAGAGTACAGTGATGAGATCTTCAAGCTCTTGGATGATGGAGCCCACATATATTTCTGTGGGCTCAGGGGAATGATGCCTGGGATTCAAGAAACCTTGAAGAGGGTTGCCGATGGAAGAGGGGAGAACTGGGAGGAGAAGCTTTCACAACTGAAAAAGAACAAGCAATGGCATGTGGAAGTCTATTGATATGGCATGAAGCCTCCCATGTTAGGTAAATTTTCTTTTGGTTAGCCAATCATCAGCTTTTACGTAAGGAACTTTTGAGTTAGCAATAGCATTGATATGTATCAGCAAACAAAGAGACAAGCCCATCTTCGTTTGGTTGAACCAATTTGAGAAACCCTTTGATTGTTGATTGATGTTTCATCTTTTGCCTCCATTTAGTTTTTTATTTATTAATATTTTTCAATGTAATAACCAGAAAATTCAAAATTCTGGTGAATTTGTTCAACCGATTTTATTATGAATTGCAAGCACACTGTTTTCCCTATAATTGACAACCTGTTTTAAACAATTAATGGATGTTCAAATAAAGATCATAGCTTTATAGCAACCAAGCTATGTAATCAATTCAAGTCCCAGTAAAAACTGAAATAGAGCATAAACAATCATAAGCATGATCTGTGGAGAAGTGGGGCTAATGCAGAGAAATCAAAACCAAGAAGAAAAACTTCAAATATTTAATATTTTTTCAATTTTAGTATATGTAAATTGATACTCAATATTTAATTATAATTTACATGCCTATATGCAACAACCCGCGAATAACATTTGGCATTAGGTGGTTCTTGTTTGGAAGTGGCCACAGCTTATAAATGGTTCTTTTGTTCCAACTCAGCTTTTGATTGCATTGAGGTTTGCTATTTAATTAACTTTGGAAAAGGAGAGGGTATAAATCCATAATATCCACCTTCTAAAGGCATTCTCAAATGTCCACTTGATTCTAATATGGTGGTTGCGTACTTATTCTTAAAGTAATTTTCCAAAAACATTCGAATCATCTTTTCATTTATTTTTCTCTTGTTTATAAGATGTTTTCTATTGATAGAGGCGATAACATACTATACTCGCACACAGTAAACGGATGCTAGGACTCGAACCCTGAATCTTTCTTGGGAAAACATTTGTTCCAAACCACTACAGTAATGGGTTCTTTACAAATAACATTTTCTTAATAATTCTATTAAAAAGTAGTATAATAGTGATTGATGATCTATACTGATATGTATGTAATTTATTCTTGTCTATTAAGACTTTAATCTTTTGACTATAGTGATTGATGATGTACACATTATCTTTAACAGTGTAATCCATTGGTTGATGCCTTGCAAATTGCCCAAGTTTGTGTTGCCGCATTAAGTGAATGGGTCAGGGTTTAGGGTTAATAAATCATAAAAGAAAAGAAAATGATGAGGATGTTCACTTCATCTGCCACATAAGGTAGTATTAGAATGTGGTATACAAATATAGTAAAAGTAGCATTATTCCGCTTTTATCCTGCACTTGGTTATTACCAGTTACAATTCTTGTACACAATATAGGATGCATGTTTTAGTTATGAAAAGGGTCTCAAATCTTTTATGCTGCTCATATTGAAAGTGTAGACAAAAGAAACGCAGCATGTACTGTGCATTTGAGTGTGCCAACCGTCATCTAAATATAAAGTAATAAATTATGTCAACATAGGCAACTGTCAGGTTGGAATTCATGTAAAATCAAAAGCGGCTTTGTCTGTCCACACACTACTTTCATAAATTATTTTAAGACATTGACATTTTATTTGCTTAAAAAAAAGGGGAAGAAGAAAATGACTGTTTATGAATATGAAACTATAGTCAAAGGACAACTAATCATGAATTTAATTTAGAATGTCAATCATCGAACCAATTTCTAGAAAGACAGTGACTCAAACCTAAATATTACAAGTAAAATTTTGAGGTTGGAGGACTAATTGGTTGGGTTTGCCTCTGGAAAATTCCTTGAAGCTAAATAAAAATTGAATTATAATTATGGGACCAATTCATTACTAAATTACTATCATAAATATTTGTAAACGATTTATAACATTTATATATTTATCGGTTCATAACATCGATAAATATATAAATGTTATAACAAAATAGACCGATAACCTGGTCACGTAATGATGTAAGTGTAACGATTAAATTTTTAATAATCTTATCTTATCGCAACTCAGCTAGATTGGTGAAAGCATTCTAACAAAGTCAAGCTCATAGCAAGCATCCTGTGGGCTATGTTAGCTTCTGAACAAGAACTAAATTATAGCTTAATTTGTTAAGTATATATATATATATATTTTTTTTTGTTATCTCGTTAGCTGATTTGTTTGTCTGAACAATATTTTACCTGTTTTTGGAGAAACAGATAAAATATTTTACTTTGAAGGCGCATCTTGTGCTGCGTGACGTGGCAGTCCCTCTAAATTATAAACTGCCCATCATCATATGGCACTCATGATTTTTATTCTATCCTATAATAATTCCCTCCTCTTCTCTCTGACCTCTCCTCATTAGAATAAAAATAAAATAAAAAACAAATATATAAACAAAAACAAAGAAACCAAAACACAGTTGTTTCAACAATCATCCTCCTCTCTCTCTCTCTCTCTCTCCCTGGTGCTGGTTCTTTCTCTGAAGAATCATTCTATAAAGGACATTTCTCATTTCTTCAATTCACTGGTAATATGTCATCTCTCTCATAGATCTTACACTGAATCTTTTAATTATTTTTGTCAGGTGAGCCTTTTTTTCATATGTTATGTTGGTTTCTTTCATTTTCTGGTTCTATGTGAATGGTAGCAGTCGTTAGATGGATTTGGAACCTTTGATTTGGACCAATTTTCCACCTTTAATGGACTTTCTATCCGTTTTGAATGAACCTATCATTAAAAATTTGTCATTCCTTCATTGTTGATTTCAGTTTTGATTTTGTAATCATTAATTTATTACGTTTGATTGGAACTTTCATCATTTGGAACCTGAGAAAACAAAAATTTCACTAAACTGTGCCTACCCAACGTTAAGTTGATCCCCTTTTTCTCTTTTGAAATTTGCGTGGCCAATATAAAATTCTACCCGTTTTTATCCATTGTGATGCTTTATTAGCCAAGCTATGGATATTATAACTTTGACCAATAGATTCATTTTGAATTTGATGGGGATGTTTCAACAATCGGCAACTTCAAATGATATGAAACATACATCCATGGTTATATTGCATATTCACAGTGGTATTTGGAATTTCATTGTTTTCAAACTTATTTTAACTTGCATATGAGCTCCACGGAATTGTCCGGTTAAGAAATATACTGGAATTGCAATATATGCTAAAGAAGTTCAAATTTTGAGGCTTTCATTTGGGGTGGTATCAGGTGTCTTTGTTTCGCTTTCAGAATCATTTTTGCTCAGATTGGTTGTTTTAACTTTCCGTTTTCCAGGCCACTTCCTCCTGACTACTTGAAAAGAACAGGCTTCAATCATTGGATGATTGTAGGTTATTAGCAAAGCAATGAATCACCGTCCAATGGAACTGGGGAGGCCTAACTCAGGTATGCTTGTAATACTCGAAGCAAAGGAAACAGAAATATTATTTCGTACAAATTGAAAACCTTACATATTATGAATTATGCATCATAATTACATCTATTATTCTGGTAAGAAAAGAAAGATTGTTTTTAAGTACTTTCCATATTTGTTGGGCAGTAATGTAAGCATTTTTGCATCTGTGTGTATCTGGCGTAAATGTCTTTTAGTTTAATACTTTAATCTAGAAAGTGAATGACATGTATATGCTATACAGGTAAAAGAAGATTAAAAGATCTATTGCTGCAAAAAGATAATCGCTCTTGTGCTGATTGTGGTGCTCCAGATCCTAAATGGGCGTAAGTTTTCCCCATTGATACCCTGAGAATGTATATGTACTTTGTGTCAGTGTTTGTATAGGCACCAAGTCAAAGACTCTGTTGTTTAAGACATGCTTGTTTCACATGTAAGCTTAAGAGATTAAAGATGAGTGTGTTTGTAAAGCTATTAGTTGACATCCGAAATTCCGACACATATCTATCAAGAAAATTGAAAATAAACATGCATTCTTAGGAAAGTTCACTTCCCGTATCCTTCTAACTTCTTCGATATTAAGGAATCTGTTTGTAACTTCATTTGCAGGTCAGCAAATATCGGAGTTTTTATATGCTTAAAATGTTGTGGTGTGCATAGGAGCCTTGGTACTCATATATCAAAGGTAAGGGCTCCTGATTGCTGGATGAGCCTCCAGTGTAATTTTTTATAATGGAAACAATTTTCCAGTAGAAAAACATGACAGACGACTAGTTAGAGATAGGCTGATAACCACATGTATGTTCCACCTGCCGTTTCTTTACTACCAGCAGTTATGTCATGAACAAAGATGACAACACATGTCCACCCACTTGGCCCTGAACTAAGTGGTCTCTCCCCTCCCCCTCTTCCTTTTTCTTTCTCAAATAGGTATTATGAAACCAAAGTTTGTGTACTAGTTAAGTTTTCATTGTATTGCACCAAGACAGTCATAATTTGGAGTTCTGGTTGCAGAATTATAATATAACTAACTTTAAAGAAACAGTCAGAAGCATGATTGTTATTTACGATATGAAATCTATTGACCAAAAGGGAACATGCAAATGATTGATCACATCTGCTTGCATCAAGGAAGTTAATTTAATTATCGACATGAATCCTTGGTTGATTGAATTGCATCACAAGGAAACTGGGGAAGTTTATTTCATTTCTTTTACCAAAAAATCTTCTTGTTTTTTCGGATTGCCTTCTTCTTTCTGTTTTTAGGGTGATACCCACAGTAGAACTATTTCAGGCTTGCAGGCGAATCAGTCAAATGTTGCTTAATTGATTGATATTTATTATTTCAGGTTTTGTCAGTGACACTGGATGAATGGTCTGATGATGAAATTGATGCAATGATAGAAGTTGGGGGAAATTCTTCTGCTAATGCAATTTATGAGGCTTTTATTCCAGATGGATGTTCAAAGCCTGGACCAGATGCTGGTCACGAGGAACGCTCAAAATTCATCCGGTTAGTTATGCTATAGAATTCTAGGATTTCCCATTGAGCAGTTTCAATTTTTGGGTCACTTTTCAGATATTAAAAGTAGTTACATATTCATGTAGGTCAAAGTATGAGGCTCAAGAATTTCTGAAACCTAGCTTGCGGATTAACTCAGGTCCTTCTAGAAAGAACTCTCTTCAGAACACTCTCCAATCAAGTAGTTTTTCTAGAAAGATTATCGATAGTTTTCGTTCAAATTCTTCGCAGAAAACGGTAAGTATTGTCACATGTTATGTCTGCCTTTCAATTATGTACTTCAAGAATTAAGGTGAAAATTCATAAAAGTTGGGAGAGTGGGATATAAACTTGTTGAACTATACATGTTGTATCTGTCCATGTTTGCTTTTGGTAGAAATAACAACGCAATTAGTACATGATGCATATCAATGTAACTTTGGCCTATATTTTGAAATTGGTTACAGGAAGGTATGGTAGAATTTATTGGATTATTGAAGGTAAAGGTGATTAGAGGCACAAATTTAGCTATTCGAGATATGATGACAAGTGATCCTTATGTCATCCTGACTCTTGGGCAACAGGTTAGTATTCTTTCACTATTGCTTATTACTTGGTAATGAAGCTTCAGAATCCGCTATTGCACATGAGGGAGAGAGAGAGAGAGAGAGAGAGAGGAGAGAGAGAGAGATTTAATCATTTCCATATATACTTGATTTTTGCATATAACAAGGAAGTCGAGGGGAAAATTTCAAAGAAAAAGGCTGTTGATGCATGCTTGTCGGCTAGACTTGATTAAACGTAATAACCCCATGTATATATTGTGAACTGATATATTAATCAGATAATTCAATTTGTGATTAGTCCAGACTGATATTTCTTTCTTTGATGATGGTAATGTTGGTGATAATGTAGACTCTTCAGACGACTATAATAAAAAGTAACTTGAATCCAGTCTGGAATGAAGAACTCATGCTGTCTGTTCCTCAGCGATATGGAGCTTTACAGTTGGTACGCATATCTATGTCTATCCGTTACAGATACCATATGCCAAAGATCAGGAAACTCTCATGTAATACTGACGTGTCATTTTACTCTGCCTTTTTCTCATGTAATACTGAATGTTTCCGGTTGCCACATTGCAGCGGGTGTTTGATCATGACACATTCTCGGCTGATGACATAATGGGAGAAGCAGAGGTTGATCTTCAGCCCTTGATAACATCTGCAATGGCATTTGGGGATGCAGGAATGTTTGGGAACATGCAAATTGGAAAATGGCTGAAGTCAAATGACAATGCCCTCGTAGACGATAGCACCGTTAACATTGTTGATGGGAAGGTAAAACAGGAGGTGACACTCAAGCTCCAGAATGTGGAATGTGGAGAAATAGATTTAGAACTAGAGTGGATGCCTCTTGAGCAATAGGTAAATAATTTATTTATTCTTCCCATTTTATTTTTAATAAGAATCTGTAATTTTTGGTTGAGTTACTTGTATGGAATGGCACCATACACTTGTCTCCATTCTTTTGTATTTGTTGATAGAAATTCCAGTTTTCTCTCTTATTTGTGAATCGTTTGACAAAAACCAGAGCATGAGCACATATTCACATTGGTCTTTTTTTTCTCTCTTTATTTTTTTTCTTCTTTTGATACAAAAGATAATCTACTTTAATCTAATCTAAATTACGGGGATGGGGATTTGAACTCGGATGCAGAGTGGGGAGCATATCCGCTCTAACCAACTAGGCTAAGCACATTCTCTTTTTTTTTATTTGTGCGTAAATATTCACATTGGTTTGCCTTAATCCACACTGATTGTCTTGTAGTTTTATGGTTGTAGAAGAAAGATGTAGGGTTTTTTTTTGTTTTCTTTTTTGGGATGATATTTATTTGTAATGAAGGTGAGTGAACCCAGCGGAGAGGAAGAGAAAAGGGAAGAGTTACCCTTATCCCAACCATGGGACAAAAAGGAAAAAGAAAAGAAGGGTATTGTGGCACAGCCGCACAAGTTGAACCAAATCCTTGATTTATTCAGGCTGCTTTATTCAACCAAAAGCAACGGCCATGGTAAGTTGAGATTGTATGGCAGTTTGATTGTTGAAATAAGAAAAAAGATATAAGAATCCAATTCTTTTTCAAATATTCGACGCAATTAACCATTTTATTTGATTCTTCATCATTATGATTTATAAGCTAAGGACCCCATCATCATCAAATTCATGGCAGGTTATTATTAAGTCCATATTAAATTTTCTCATATTTCAGACGCTAACTCAAGTCAACAATGTGAGCTGGATTAAAACCATACCAACCGACAATTTCCATCCTTTTACGTATGCTAATAATAATAATAATAATAATAATTTTTTTAAAAAAAAAAGTCTTTTGGTAGATACCACGAGATAGTCCTGAAGTTGAATCATGAGAGAGACATACGTACATGTAACAGAGTGTATATCTTTCTGTGACATAGACAAACACAAAATGGTATACACAGAAAAGTATACACCTCGTTGCATGTAAGTAAGGCAAAAACATTGTTCATTTTATGGAATATTACATACAATAACATCAAGGTCTTACTATTTGGACTATATTTTCTGACTACATTGTTAATCACCTCTTTAATAAAGGCGGGTTTCGCATATATTGGTGGGGTCTATCTCTATTAGAGTGGCGACCATCAATGAATTTAGTACAAATAGTATTATTGTCACAAAAAGAAGTCGAAAGTTCACAATAATTGTAATTATACTAGTACAAATAGAAGCCAACTAATACAATTTTCTTTAAAACATTTATAAAACAAACCAATTAGTTTTTGGTCTAATAATATTTCTTTCTCTAATGTTGGAAGAGGTCCGAACTTCGTATTCCCACCTCATTCATAAAAGAAAAAAAAAATGAATTTTCTCTAGAACGAGAATGCTTCCTAATTGATTACACCCAGATAAGAGAAGATTGAGTGGATTAGCAAATAGCAAACGAAAAAAATTTGGACCTCTGCATTCTCTGTCATATATGATCTACCTCTTAAGCTTATTCACATGACACTCACGAAAAACATTAAAAAGAAAAAGAAAAAAATGGAGCAGAAATCCAGAGAAGCACTAGTTGTTGTAATAGAGATCATTACCTCATGATGACGCTGATGGTGGTAATGATTTATGCTTTCGGTTCCTTAACAGATACACAAAGGCAGACGCCACAAACAGAGCGACACCTGTAATCCCACAAACCAAACTGGCCAGCAACAGCACATCCTTCACGTGATCTCTATGGCCGCCGCCACGTGCGACGACGCCGTTCCACCACGACGAGTCGCTCGAGTTCATCGCCTTCGGCAATGCCGTCGGCGAATTTTCTCCCCCTCCTCCGCCTCCTCCTCCTCCCCCGACGAAGAAAGACTTCACTTCCGTCGGCGACTTCGCGCTTGCCGGAGGCGAGCCCTGGTATAGGAGTCCGTGATCCGACGGCCGCAGCTCTCGACCGTCCGATTCCATGGCCACCACCACCAGAAACACCACGATCGCTACCCCGATTTCCATGGGAAGCACCATTCTCTCTCTCTCTCTCTCTTCGTCTCTGTCTCCAGAGAGTTTAGGTCCACACACACTGCGTCGTTTTATAAGAGTATGAGCACCAAACGCTACACTGTTTGATGACGTGAAATTTTATTTTGTTTTGTTTTGTCTGAATTCGGAAAACCGTGTGATCGTTGTCACCTGTCGGAGACCAGTGAGAAGTGAGCAATGACCTCTCCCTATTACAATTTAGAATTCACAGAAAGTCTACTATATGTAACTGTATTGGTCCTCCTATCGCCGCTTACTTTTTTGTCCTCTACTATTTACCATTTATAAACTTACTCAAAATTTTTTTACTTTCTACTTACTCTGTAAAAATATTAGAAAAATAAAAGCATAATTTCGGGTTTGTGTATCAAGCATATTTTTCGCGAAGCTAATATGTTAGCTCGTCACGTCCTTATACAAAAAAATAATTTCTTAAAAAACAAATGGAGAATTTCGAGTTGGAATATCAAACATATTTTTTGTGAAGCTAATGCATTAGCTCGCTACGTCTTTATATAAATCCTTGTATCTGGTTTAGTAATTTTACTTGAGTTCAAATTTGACTTGTATATATATCGCGAAAGTATTTAATGTCCATGACAGACAAAGATGGGTGGGAATTAAATTTGAAGCAACTATTTTTCTATTGTGACTGATGACTTGTGAGGGTGAAGCTTTTGCTTTGTATTTTTGTAAAGCTTCTTGTTGTTGTTCAAGATTAATTTTGGACTGATTGTAAGGATGGGATTTAGACTCAAAGGATAGTCCTATCTTTCTTCTGGAGCTGATAAGAATAGCATTTATACCATCTGTGATGCCAAAAGTAGCCATGTCATTTTGCTTTATCATTGTACGTGATGGGATATGGCCTAACTTTATCCATGCATTACCACTAAGAATATAGCATTATCTGGGGGAATTAACTTTTTTTTTTATTAATCTAGAGCTTAACTTTGATGTTAAGTTACTTATTCTTCAAAAAAATAAAAAAAGGAAAACGGGGTCTCAGATTCGATTTGCTGACCAATGATCTTAAAATCAAAATCTCATAACATATTGGTAGTGGAGTATGAAAAACCCCCCCTTAGCTATCCCCATCTTCCTTTTTTTTTTTGGGTCAAATATCTCCATCTTCACTGAAACAAAGACAATGCCACAATGATCATCCGTCTTTCCTTTTTCTTTCTTTTAATTCGAAGAAAGGGGACACAAATCAAACTTTTACTGTGGATATTGACAGAAATAGTAACCATTGCAACAAATCAAACTTTTAATTTTGTAACCATCCCGTACAATTAATTTGCAAAATTATATACATTTGGTACATTAGGTTGGCGGTCAAGTACGTATCATTGATTTAACACTTCTCTTACAATTTTCTTTTTGAAGTCAAAAGCAAAACCACGAAGAAGATCCTAATAAGGATCCCTAAAGACTTTACATCAAAGAGGGTTTTACAAGTCATTGAAGAAGGAAAATGGGAAAACCAAAAATGTGGTTGATGAAACTTGTGACCAATATTATCATAATTCACATTTGGGTTGGGCCCCGTTGGGTTTTATTTATAGCATTATTGCATATCATTATGCTTAATGCATGCCTTAAGCAGTAAGCTCTTATAATAATAATAATAATAATAATATCTATCCACGTGTTTGGACAAGATAAGATAGCTTGAAATCCAGTCTTCCAATGACGTTCTGCTCTGCTGTGTGCTCTCTCTACCCGCCCATTGTTTCAAACGAGTACCCGCAGAGCTTCACAAAAACAGGACTATTGGAAAATTCCCAACTTACACTCCATTAAAATGGGCAAGTCCTCGGAGGCCCACATTTGCCAATGCCTCAGCCTCCTATCAACTCTCCGGCGCAATTCCGTCGTCACTGTCAGTGGCAACCGGAGAAAGACCGGCGAGGAATTCGTGGAGAGTGTCATAGGTCTGGCCCAAGGCCTGCTCCAACTGGGCCTCGGCCCTGGCGACGTCATCTCAATTGCTGCGTTCAACAGGTTCTGCTTCACTTGCTCACCAAAAATGCTTTTTGAAAACACTCTTAAGTACTAATATATGGTTGCACATGCGAGTTAGAACAATTGACCACGACGTAGTAGATTAATTTAGAATAATTTAGACTATCGCTTGTATATAAAAAGTATACTAATATATGATCTTGTTATCAATATTATCAGTGAGTTGTATTTGGAGTGGTTACTAGCCGTTGCATTTGTTGGTGCCATAGCTGCTCCTCTTAATTACCGATGGGTAAGCAAGCTTCAAAATTGTAATTCTGAGAATTACTTGCCATGCAAACCAAATGTAACCCAACATTTTTGTTGTACTTTTACACATTGCAGAGCTATGAAGAGGCAGTTTTGGCAATGGAGGTAGTGAGGCCAGTAATGTTGGTGACTGATGAAAGCTGCATCCCCTGGTATTCTAAGCTCCAACTTCATCATATACCTTCTCTAAGGCGGCATGTTTCGTTGGATTCGCCTTCCTCAGATTTCTTAAGGACTTCAAGTAATGGTATGAAGTTTCTAAGACATGGATTTTTCATTTAGATATTGTAACAAACATAAAGCATTTCTTTGGTTTACCAATTTGGTTAAGATATTACTCTTCATTCTTCACTTGGGCAGTGTTAAGTACTGAAACGATTAAAAAGGATTCCGTAGGGGACGCCCAATTAAATTACTCCTGGGCACCTGAGGGGGTTGTGATGATATGCTTCACTTCTGGTATGAGCTTTCTACTCTGTTTATTTGTTCTTAGAATTTTTTTTAGACATTAGTTGTAAGATTATTCGGCCATTTGTCTGAATTACTTATTTGTTCTTGTTATATAGGAACCTCTGGAAGGCCAAAGGGAGTTGCCATAAGCCACTCAGCTTTTATCATACAGTCCCTAGCAAAAATTGCCATTGTTGGCTACGGTGAGGATGATGTATGCATGTGTTCTTTTCATAGTTTGCAATTAGTCAAGGATGTTCAGATTAGAGTTTCGCACGAAAGCGGGGTTGAATTCGGTTTAGCTCAAGAAACTGAATGAATTTGCAATGTTTAATTGTGCGGCGATTGCAGGTTTATTTGCATACAGCTCCATTGTGCCACATTGGTGGTTTGTCATCAGCCCTAGCAATGCTAATGATTGGAGCACGCCATGTCTTGATTCCTAAGTTTGAGGCTAAATCTGCCCTTGAAGCCATAGAGCAACATAAGGTTACTACTCTCATCACCGTTCCTGCAATGATGGCCGATTTTGTTCTCAAATTCAGGTAATGGTAGAGGCTGTATGAGGAGATTTCTTATCATAGCGTGCTTATAGAGTAAGAGAAAATCCCACTCGGAAAGCATTCTAATTTTTCGTTTACTAGGTATCGTATTTTCGAGTTCTGTGAAAAGGATTGATCAACATGCATTGCAAAGCCTTGTACTTGTGCCTTGTGCCATTGGTTTTCTGAGTTCTTGTTCTGAAAGCTGTCAGGGGGATTGAGACATGGAAAGGCATGGAGAGTGTGAAGAAGATCTTAAATGGAGGTGGAGGTTTGTCAAGCGAACTTACCAAGGCTGCCATCAAATTGTTCCCACAAGCTAAGCTCCTCTCAGCTTATGGTGGGTGCCTCTTTCCCTAAACCTGTCTTCATATATACCTCAGAAATCTGACCTGCAAACTTATATATCTACTTATAATTTCGTTTCTTCTCTTACCTTTCTAATAACCAAAGGGATGACGGAGACATGCTCTTCATTGACCTTCATGACCCTGTATGACCCGAGGATTGATGGAAGAAAATTGCAGCTAGTTCACCAAGAAAGAGGTATTTGTGTTGGCAAGCCTGCTCCTCATGTAGAACTAAGGATCTCCGGGGATGGCTCTTCTCATGTGGGGAGGATCTTAACCAGAGGCCCACATGCGATGCTTAGATACTGGCAAGGAAGTCCACCAAATGCATCAGTTTCCGGCGATGAAGTATGGCTTGACACAGGAGACGTTGGCTCAATTGACGACTCTGGTAATGTGTGGCTTGTCGGACGAGCAAATGGTCGAATCAAGAGTGGAGGGGAGAACATTTACCCTGAAGAGGTAAGATCATATGTTTTATTGACCTCTGTTCTTGTTTTGTTCAGAAACTAACGAGGGAAAAATGACATAATTAGTAGGAGAAATGACTGTATGCAACGGTTATGTATTAGTATTTCTTTCACAATACATATGAGGGAGCGCTTATTTGTGGTGAAACCTACGTGTATGTTGTGAAAGGAAGGTTATATATAACCGGCGCATACAGTCTAGATTTCGTTTCTTCTCTAAATTACACCAATTCGGAAAAGGGTATTTCATTCCTTCTTTAAAAACGATATAGGTGGAGAGAATCCTATTACAACATCCAGGGGTAAATGGTGCTGTTGTGGTGGGAATTCCAGATGCTCGCCTCACAGAGATGGTTGTGGCTTGTGTTCAAATAAGAGAAGATTGGCAGTGGATAAGTACAAGTATCAGACACTCAGTCTCAAAACAAATGCTTCAAATGTCCAGTGAGATCCTTTGCCAATTTTGTAAAGAAAAGAATTTGACCGGGTATCCTGTTTTCTCTCCTAAAACAAAATGATCCTTGGAATTATAGGGATTTCAAAATTTTCCTCACATGTTTTTTACGATTTTTTTTGCAGGTTTAAGATACCAAAAGTAATTATTTTATGGAAGAAGCCATTTCCACTGACGACAACTGGAAAAATAAGAAGAGACCAAGTCCGGGGAGAGGCTATATCTCAGCGGCAATATATAATTAGCAATCTATGATTTTTTTTAGATAATATTTTTTGGTAGTGTATACGATTCTTAAATTCATATGCCATGATGATTAATCTGTACCCATTTAAAAGTTAGATTTTGGTTATGGTAATCAATCTGTATTCCCCATTGTTGCCTTAGCAAAAGCCAAATCGAGAGAGAGAGAGAGAGAGAGAGAGAGAGAGATGCTCATCAT